TATGAAAAGCCTGCCCACATTTATTAAAGATGCCTTTACATCCGAATACGTTTTTTAAGAAGGAATAATTATTATTACTTCTATGTCATCATTCAACGATTTTGTACTGGACCAATTAAGATTACAATATTCTAAATATCCAAGCATCTGCTCCTGCTCGGACTGCATAATGAACTCAACATGTATAAAATGCTGATCGAATAGATCCTCGATCTCGGTCCTAAAGACAGACAGACAGACAGCCTAACAATTGAATTGTTGTTCTCGACTGTGCACAAATTCAAATGTCATTCAAATAACGGTCGCCAACGCACAATGACAGTGCTAAATGGACGGGCACGCGGCCAAAGAGGAGCGGGAGTATTAGAATAGGAACCACGGGACACAAGCATCAGCAACGCCTGCATCTCATTTCGGCGCAAATCTGTTCGTTGTTGTCAGGAAAAATACGATTTCAATGCGGCAGCGCGCCAATATCCTGGGCACAGGATACGAACGAATATTGTTATTATTTTCATGTTTCATCCGGTTTCATGTGCTTGCTGCCCGGTGCGACATCAACGTCGACTAGAAATAACAAAAACAGCAAAGGACCGAGGCTGCAACAGTGCTTTGGAAGTGGAATTGTAACTCAAACTGGGCCCTGGGTGAGCCAGCGGTCTCGACTTCCTCTTTTGAGTTAAACCACAACATAAGCCAAAGGCCGTTCTCCTTCTCCTTTCCTCCGTCTCCGTCACCGTCTCTATCTCGTCACCGATAAGCGTGACATTTTCATATTGTTGGCGATCTTTGCGATCCGAGTCTCATTCATGCTACACTCAGCGATTGAAATCTCCAAGAATATCCGAGGCTGAGCCGCAGCACGCCAATCACACACTGACGGGATTAGTTGAAGTGAAGTTTTTTATCTCTTTCTAGTCGTCGATTGTTCTGCGCTAATTGGACCGATCGTCAAATACATACAGACATAGTTCGAATGGCATGCGGATGGCCGTGAAATCGTATAGGATAGTTGCGATATATCTTCAGATATATCACTAAGCCTTATCTTTGATGAGCGTGCAATTGGCGTCAAATTTGAACTGACATCTATTTATTATAATATCTAAAAAGCAACCATTTTGAACATATATATAATAAATCTAGAATATACTTTCGAATTTTGCGCTGAGCAATTTATATTATTGCTGAAATTAAAATTTTCTATCTCTAAGCTTAAAGCCGATCATAAATCGGAAAAATGGGTTTTTAGCCAATTGCACGTGATTTCAAAATTAATCCCGTCAAATTTATAAATTAATTATAAAAAAAAACAGACAATCTAATATTCAAGGAATCGATCCTAGGCGATCCTGATTTAATTAAAGAATGAGGGAAAATTGTATTTTGTTTTAAAGATTGAATACTGTAAATTATGATCGAGACAGTTATAATCAAATTTTCGGGCGGTCCTGTTATTTATACTAGCTATAAAATAAGTATAAATCATTATAAAGTCCTCCGATCTAAATTGCAAAGAAGAACGTTTGGTTTATATAAATATAATAAAATAAAATATTCTTTAAAAAAAACGAAGAGATACCCTTTGTTCAAAAACACGCACACACAAATACTCACACATATTAAACATAATTTTTAACACATTTCTCTTAAAACATAAGGCAACAAATTTTCATGGCTGATAAATTACGAAAAACTACCAGAAATTAGTGCATAACTTCCTAAATGCGAGTTGGGGCAGATGTCAAGCAGTATTCGGCATTCGGTCGGGGTTCGACTTAACCCCGCGCTCATTTAAATGTCACTTCTGCAGAAACACAAACAAATCCCCAAAGGACCAAGCATAAGAAAATCATTTGTTAGGCAAGGCAGCCCGAAGTGAAACCATATTTGAACTTCACCTCGGAGTTGCCACAGGGCAGGGGTCAGGCTATGGATCCAAGGGTCGCGACATTGGCGCGTAAGATTTGTGTGTTTCCGGAGCGAGTCGGCTTCGAAGTAAGGGTCGGTATCGTAGTCGGAGTCGGGGACGGGGTCGGGTCCTATAATAGACGCATTTCCTTGGCTGGCTGCCTGCTCCTTGGCGAGCGTAATAGCGTAAACATTTAATGGGAGCGTGCGCTGCGCACGCGCAACATGGCCTCACCCCAAGGTCTGAGTCCTAGCCTCGACTCCTCGATTCTCCCTTTTTGATGCTCGTGGCGTCATTGTTTGATTTCCTTAAGGCTTTGCGTGTCGCTGCTTATGCGTCTTATGATTGATTGAGTGCTGCATACTCGAATACTCGTACCATTATTATGTATGCTTTGTTCATATTGTATTTTGACGATTTCTTATACCCATGATCATAATCTTGTGGCATTCTCTGTAGAGCATGAAAAATTTTGTGGGTGGAATGGTTTTGTGGTCGATAGTTATAAGAAAATGTATCCATTGAGTCAATCAATGGTACAAATAGAAAAGTTCGTGATTAATCATAATGTGCAACTGTTGAAATCAGTTGGAATAAGTTTCAAATTTTGTACAGCTGTTAAAAAATATATTTTTTAATTTAAATTAAGCAGATATAAGGAGAAGGAAAAGGAGGTGTTTTATATTTAATTCACAATTATATTAAATATTAATAAATTACTCATTAGCTTAAACACCGTTCAGAGCTACATGTTGTGCTAGTTCGAAATTAATCATTATTTGAAAAATATGCTAGGAAGATAATAACACTCGTAGTAGAGATATCTTGGCAAGCAAACAAGTTTTTCGTACAATATCTCTATTTAATAGATGTACTTGAATAGAAATCTTACTCAATTTATTTTTGTTAATTTTAAAAACGTATAATTTAATTGTGAACAAATTCATAGGAAAATATGTTATTCATTATTATTCAAAATATACATATTTATTTAATTCAAAGTTTTTGAAATCACCATGTATGTTTTTTTTTCTTGAAATGTATAATTCATAAATTGGGAATAATATCAAATTAAGGATTTCATAATATTATATGTCCAAAATATTGAAAGTATTGTCTTACGAGAGTAATTCTCTTACTTCGTCGCTTCTTACTTGCAATTTTTTGCATTGTTGTTACTGAGAGTCGTCTGTGCCTTTGGCTGCAACTACTTCGCTTTGTTGCTACTGTGATTCGTCGTCGGGTTCTGTGGCTGCTGCTACACATGTGTGGCACACTTAACACCTCCAATTCATAATGAATGAGTTAAGAGCATCAACAAACTAAACATTAACATATCGTGCGACTACCACTGCAACTGCAGCTCTGCCCCTTGTGACGCTTTGAGATTTACATTACATGCGAGGGACACGCCCGCATGGCGGCAATGTTGCCGGCAGGCCAGCAGGACATGTGTTAATCAAGTAGCGACCTCGTCAGCGCATAACTCAACTGTATGTTGCCTGCAGATGCATGTAAGGATGAGAACGAGTAAACAGCTGCGGCTCCGATTCCGATTCCCAAATCTGAGACAAGTACTAAAAATAGTTGGCGGCAAGGTGCAGGGTGATGTGGCTGCTCTTGCCCGTGGGGATTTATGTGACAGAATTCTCGTGTTTACGCTTAATTCTCATTTAATTTTTATGGGCGCCAAGGAATGACGGCTGCTTTTTGGGATATCGGTAGCCTCGATGCCATGGCAAACTTGGTCATTTGTCTTGCTGCCGAGATCGTTGATCAGATGTATTCAGCAAACAAATACAAGAGTAAACAAAAAACGCAACATGATCTAAAAAACCAATAACCATTTGTATGAAGAAAAGGTGACAAACAATCGGAAGAAACAAGCATTAGAAAAATGCGCAATTGTTACAGCATGACAATTGAATGCAATCCGGAAATGTCCTGTACCGCTATGGACAAGATGGATCGCCCAAGTGGAAATCTGAGCAGCTCAACTCAACTCAAAAAAAAAAAAATACTCAAAAACTGCAACCCCTGTTTGGAGTGAGAACTCAAAAAGGCAGCAGAGAGAAAGATCGAATCCCTGACACTGTGATATCCCTAAGTAAGTCCCATGTTGACCTCTAAGACGACCTCAAGATATGTCCTGTCCTGTCCGTCCGAGAGCGCGCGCGCTTCTTCTTTTGTTCATTTGCCGGTCATTGTTTGACCTTTTCTTATTCTCGTTCTCCCCTCTCTTTTGGCCAACCAGCTTGCTCTTTGTCTTACGCTTGCGTTTTGATCTCGGCCCGTTGTCAATTGCCAATAGGCCATTGCAATAAATGTGATAAAGATTGCGTATTGTTTTTCTCTACAATTGCTCGGAGTCTGTGCCATAAATTGCCCGTAGCCAGCTGATCGGCGACCGTTGACCGGTCACTGTTGATGTCACCTAGCGTTGAAAAATGCATTGAATGATGCCTTAATTGTGGCGCAGTCGCATCTACGGCAGCTGAATCTTTCCGATTCCAATGAATCTTGGCAATTGTGGGAGTTTAACGTTTGTTTTACTGTGTTGGCATTCGGAGGGGGATATTTATTTGTGCAGTTTCTGGTGTAGTTTACATGCAACAAACATCATTTTATTTTTAAGCTGGCATATTACAGAGTAGACAACCCAACTTAACACACATTTGTGTTTAGAAACAAAACCAAAAAAAAAAAACAGAATAAATTTCGAAAGATGAGACATCTTTAAGTGGGATGTATTTCGATCCAACAACTAATGTTTGCACAAATGGGAAATATTATTATTGCTAAGTTGCTATTTGCTAAGAGCAAACATTTTTCTTACATTTTTTAACCAAAAATTTGTTTAATTTAAAATGAACCAAAAAATAAATATATATTGAACTTGAAATCAAATTTGCTTAAAACACAAAAAAAATAAATATAAATGGAAAATATTTGGCGCTCATAATAATAAGCCGGTCACACTGGATTGTTATTAAATAGCATTGGGCTCATCATCGATATCTCCTATTGTGAGTATATTGCGATAATAGCCGATTTCGATAAATTTCTCAATATTCTTCTCTAGCAGACACCCAATCAGCTGTTCGTGCAGACAAAAAATGAAAGACGTTTACGTTTACACATTTACTTATTGAATAAACGAAAGAAAATGAGTCAATATAGTCACATCAAATATACGACATCGCCAACGCCATCCGTGGTGTCGGGCTACTCGAGCGCCTCGCGGCTCCATTCGCCGCTTCCGCCACCTGTGGGACATCGCAAGGATTGCCTGTCGGCGACATCAAAAACCTACAAATATCTTCGACGCTTATTTAAATTCAATCAAATGGACTTTGAATTTGCATTGTGGCAAATGATCTATTTGTTTATATCGCCACAGAAGGTGTACAGAAACTTCAATTACCGGAAGCAAACCAAATCTCAATTTGCACGCGATGATCCCGCCTTTCTACTGCTCCTCCTTGTTTGTCTCTTTGGTAAGTGGGCCCATTTAACGGACAAATAAATGCGATAAATAATATTCTTTTGTATTTGGCTTGCAGTAACCTCTGTGGGATTTGCTTATGTGCTAAACTTGTCCTTTTGGCAAAGCGTCGGATTTATATTCTATGTGATTAGTGTCGATTGCATATTTGCTGGCGTCATAATTGCATCATTCTTTTGGGCGGTCACAAATCGTTTCTTGCGCACCAGCAATTTGGAGCCGGACATTGAGTGGGGCTATGCATTCGATGTGCATCTGAATGCATTCTTTCCGCCTCTAATCTTATTGCATTTCATCCAATTGTTCTTTTACAATTGGCTAATCAGTCAGACATGGTTCATATCGCGATTCCTCGGCAACTCCTTCTGGCTAATGGGCATGAGCTACTACGTATACATCACTTTTCTTGGCTACAATTGTGAGTAGAGCACACATATTTCAATAAAATTATTATAATTTTATGCTTTGATTTTCAGGTATTCCGCATCTGAAGAATACACGCCTCATACTCATTGCGTTGCCCATTATCTTTCTGTTGTATCTTGTCGTCACTATCATTGGCTGGAATGCAACAATATCCTTTGTGAACTTCTACAAATATCGTGTGTATTGAGGAGGATTTGACGATGTGGACTGTAAATTATTTTGCTTCTTAGCTGCTAGGCGATCCCTACATTAATGACTAATAATACTTACTACTGTAGCATAATCCATGTTAATATAAACATCGTATTAAAGTTTAACTTTCCATTTGAAAATCGAATTTTCTTTTCTATCTTTTTTGTTTGGTTTTATTTAACTACAAGTTAGAATAACAAATGCTTTGATTTGGTGCCTCTACGCCAGCTGCTTGGGTTTGACGAATGAGCGTTTCCGTTTGTTCCGCTTGCGCTGCAGCTCCAGAGTGTGCAATTCCGTGTGCACCTCGGCAAAGATTTCCTTTTGCTCCTCCTCGGGTATTGTTGCGCGATAATGTTTCATCATATCGTATTTCTCCCACGGCTTCTGCACTTTTTCGGCAGACTTGCGATGCTTGTCCTTTATGTACTGATCAATATTGGCCACGCCGAGCAGATTTTGACGCTCCCAACGCTCCAGCCAGGGACGTGGACGGAGCACAACTTTAATGTCGTTAATTGGCACTGGAGTGCCTTCCTCCAGAGTCTCTGGCTCCATCTGCTCGTCAAATGTACTGAACTCGGGCAGTGCATCACGCAAATAGAACAAGCTATCATCCACACGCTTCTCTAGACGCAACACCTCCACTTTCTGTATGGTGGGATCGTACAACTCGTAGACAACCTCGATGCCCTGGTGATCGATCACGTTGCGTAGAATGAAGCGAGCACGCAGGCCACAGCGTTCGCGATGTATGCAAATGCCCACAAAGCGACTGATCTTGCCTGCGGCATGGGGATCCGAGCTGGTCACTGCAAGAATGGAGCCCACATAGAATTCAGGCAGCTCGATTTGACGCCGCCGATCCAGCATGTCCAAACGCTCCAGCTTCTCGCGCACTGTATTGCGCCATTCCACCTTGGGATCGGGCAGAAACTCGGGATACACAAAGCGATAATGGGCGGGCACAATGGGTTTCCGAACCGGGGCAGAATTTGCTGCATCCTTTTGTTGGGGTACAGCAACTGCTGCCGCCTGCTGCGTCGGCTTTGTGGAAAATGTGACTGAAATTGTGCAAGGTTAACGATTGTTGTTTTAGACTGCATCTGAAGAATACTCACCGATCCGCTTAAGGCTACATTGCTGTGCCAATCTATTACTCAGAACTCTGGCATTAACGTTCATTTTAACATAAGAAAACGTTTAGATAATCACGGCTAGCGATGGCTAAAGACAAGAATCGACTCACATTTTGTTCGAATATCGATATAACCGTGAACCGTGACTACTTCGATAGCGCGCAACTAGAGAAACCACCTGTTGATTAATTTGCACGTGTTATCGATGCATAAGTAAATCGAACATTTTTAAATAGGCGGCTTAAAAAATTCATACTATTAGAACAATATTTTACGTGTATTACTATTTAATTGGATTGTGATCAAATTGTAAATATACATCTACAAAATATTACAATTGACTGTTTGCGAATTGATCAGAACTTTTATTCATATTTAAATTATTGCAATTTTTTTGTACAAAACCATTCTATTCGAAATTGTTATCGAAAATATTCATTAGGTTTCTACATTTTAATGCAGTAAGTGCAATTTATAGTCAAGTAAGTTTTAATCTAGTAATCAAATGAATAGAGTTAAAATAATTCAATAATACTAAATGTCCGAAATAAATTGAATATCATTAAATATTTACAATAAGAATATACAATTAGATAAAAAACAACCCTAATTAAATAAAAAGACATGTTGAGAAAATACAAGTTTAAAAAATGTTAACAAATATGGACTTCCATTTTTAGAAATAATTAAATTAACAGAAGTCCAGAGTACTAAATATTGTTTGAATCAAAAATTATTCCAATTTTGAAGTCTCCAATATCAAAGTAGTTGAAAAAAGATACACTCCTAAAGACGGACAAAAGGACATTGCACAAGATCAATACCGTAAATAAATAAAATAATATCAAGAAACAGTTTAAATAATGTTAATAAATTTCATCTAAATACATAAAAATATAACCAAGTATTGCCAATAATTTATAAAACTAAATAAATTAAATAAAAATAAGAATATAAATCAGTCAGGACTTTTAACAGTCAGTAAGCGGGGTGGTAAGTGTAGACGCGCCACTCGCACGATCGCTTTTTTCAACGGGGGCAGCAGGATATCTTTGGCACTATTGCGCAGCTCCTTGTGAACGCTGTTGCTGTGCAGCCTGCGTATGTGCCTCTTCAGAGCCTGTCCTTGGGTGAATGCCAATGCGCAGTAGGGGCACTTGTAGGGACGCTCGCCCGTATGCGTTCGAATGTGTGTCACCAGACTGTATCGGCGCGGAAATCCCTTGCCACAAGTCTCACAGAAGTGACTCAAAGGTAAACTGCAGGATCTGCCAATTACACAAATGAACATTGTTATTTTTTTTAACAACATAGTTGAATACTATGCATACTTCCGACTTTTAACATTGCTGCGTTTTTGTCGTACAGGATGATTCTTGGGACTGTCGCAACTGATTTCATTGAAATTAAGTCTGGCCGTTGGCTGGTCGGTGAGCGGTTTCGCGTCCACCGTGTCGGCCAGTTCACATTCAATATCCAGCTCTTCGTAGGCGACGGGCGCTAACCTGTTTCGTAGTGCACGCTCCGTGGCATCCAAGGGATTCTGCGACATTTGCCGTCTAGCTGACTTTATTTTCTGTTTCTTCTTCTGTTTGGGTGCAGGATGCTTTGCCGCCGAATTCCTGGCTGTCGTAGCGGTTGGACCGTGAGGCACCGATTGGTGCAGACTCAACTGAGATTGCAGTTTGAAAACAAGCGGGCACTGTTCGCAACGAAAACCATCTCGACTACTGTGATGACGCATATGAGCCTTGAGCAGGTGATTCTGGATAAAAGAACGTGAGCAGTGTGGACACTTAAACGGACGTTCGCCAGTGTGAATCCGCGTATGAATGGTCAGATCGTGACCACGTAGGAAGCCTTTGCCACAAAAGTCACAGAAATGCGTCCTCTCACCCGTGTGGCGTCTGTTTATTATGATATAAAAATGTTATCTTTGTCTACAAATCTTTACAAATGGTGCATCAGTGGACATCACTCACTTCTCGTGCAGGTTCAAAAGGTAGACTCGGCCAAATCCTTTGTCGCAGAATTTGCACCTGAAGCGTGGTTCGCCACTGTTCTGTGCCTTCCGATTTACCAGGCTATTTAGCTTATGGCGCACTTGCAGCGGCCTGGAGCTCGGCAGAGATTTTTCAGTTATCAGTGGATGCGCTTTTGCGTCGCCAACTGCCTCGTCTGGGTGTAGCGGCTCAACTTTAACGTTGTTCAAGTTGAAACCGATTTGTTCCTTTTGGTAGACAGCCTCCACGAAGGGAAGTGCAGCCTTGACGTTTTCTTTGTATTTCTTTTCCAGGAGCTGCGTCAGCCTGCGTTGACTCTCCTCGCATGTGCGCTTGAATTTGTAGGCATTTTGTGTCGCCAGCACGCAGGACAGGCATATATGTTGGGGCAGCAGATCCTTGGGTTTCACCTCGCAAAAATCATTTAGCATTTCCGCCAGGCTGGGATCCTTTTTTGACTGTTGCTGGCGCTCGGCGAATATGTCGACCAATGTGACGGAGCTGTCCATGCAAACTCGACAAAGTTTATCCATGTCTGAATTTGGGGGAGTATGCAGTTACATCTGCATTGAACTCAGTACGATTAAATACAAAATTTCAAACAACAAAAAAATTGTGTATGTACATATTCGCGTAAATACAAAATTGCATTCGATACCGATTGCGCATTTCCGATAACCAGTTCGATTTCCATTGCCATGCAGCCCTGCTAACAGCTGATTCGGGCAACAATGTTTGCTTATAATACAAATAATAATGGCTAGCTTAACAGTTTTGTGAGTAGTGTTGTGATGATAACGTGCGCCAGTAGTAATCATGTTTAGTTGTCCAGTTGTTACAGAAGTTTAGCGAGTAACGTGATCACCGCAAAACTACGAAACCTTAGAAGCGATAATTATATTATTTCAAAAATCGACAAAACACAAGCAAAGTGTTGCAATATCTCAACTAAAGCTGACAACGGGCTCTCGAGCAAGTCTAGAAAAATGCTTGACCAATTGCCAATCTGTGCTTGCGGTGAAATTGTTCGTGGATTTGGACGTGGTTCCAAAGAGCTAGGGATTCCAACCGGTATATAATGAACTTGATAACAAAACGTACATAATTCCCCACATTTCTATTGATAGCGAACCTGGCGCACGAGGTGGTAAAATCTCTGCCCGCAGCCCTGCACACCGGAGTCTACTACGGATGGGCGAGCGTGAATAATGGCGATGTGCACAAAATGGTGCTCAGCGTGGGCTGGAATCCCTTCTACAACAACAAAGAGAAGAGTGTCGAAACGCATATAATGCATAATTACAACTGTGATTTGTATGGACAGATGTTAAAAATATGCATCACTGGCTATCTGAGACCTGAACAAAATTTCGATTCAGTGGAGGCACTAATTGCCGTCATTAAATCGGACATAGAAAAAGCGAAAACGATGCTGGAAACGTTGGAACATAAAAAGCTACAAGAAGCTCAATTTTTTTCCGAGGAAATAAAAAAATGTTGATCATTTGAAATACCTCACATATATATATACGTTATCACTCAAGTATGCTGAACCATAAGATTCACGTATTTGATAAAATGTATCATGTACTTAAGATAGATCTTGATCTTGAATTAAATGCAATTATTTTCACCACGTAAGTCAAATGATTGATTACTTCAAGCACGTCGTCGATAGACTTGAGTGGCGGTACTTGACTACTTAATAATTTGATTTCAAAGGCTAAAATATAATAGTCTGCACATAAAAATAGAACAGCAAGTGAACAGTCTGGGAATTAAAAGTATTAACAAAATGCTGTATATATATATATATATATATATATATATATATATATATATATATATATATATATATATATGTATTTATTTATATTGTTTCAACTTGCAATAAATGTGTTTTAAAAAAGTACAAACTCTTCCGTTATTACTGATCATCAAGTCTTATAAGAACTATCGATAACTTGTACTTGACCGCATTCGATATTTGATATCGATCTTCAGCTTTTGCTAATGATCGCGTTAAGTTTTCTGCGTGTGTTAAGCAGAGATTTGTGTATATAAAACCGTTGCATAAATCAACAGGTAAATCAGATCAAAGCATTGCATTCACTGAGCTAGTAAACAACAACAACGTCACCAATCCAATCCAATTCACACAGCACAACATGTCAAGCAGCAGCAACGTGTCGTCGACGCCGCAGACGCCGCAGCAGCAGCATGTGCTCATTTCTAGCCATGTGCAACAGCAACAGGTGGAGGCAGAAACTACGCCTACGTTGTCCATATCTGAGAGTAAGGAACTAACCGGTTTGACGCACGAGTGCGGCGTATTTGGAGCCATTGCCTGTGGCGATTGGCCCACCCAGATTGATATTGCTCACGTGATGTGCTTGGGTCTGGTCGCACTGCAGCATCGCGGACAGGAGTCGGCGGGCATTGCTACCAGCGAGGGCAAGTCATCGAAGAACTTTAACGTGCATAAGGGTATGGGCATGATCAGCACCCTGTTCAATGATGAGTCGATGAAGAAGTTGCGCGGCAACTTGGGCATTGGCCATACACGCTACTCCACGGCCGGTGGATCGGAGGTGGTTAATTGCCAGCCGTTTGTCGTGCATACGGCACATGGCACCATGGCGCTGGCTCACAACGGCGAACTGGTCAACAATGAATCTCTGCGTCGCGAGGTGCTGGGCCGTGGCGTTGGCCTGTCAACGCACAGTGACAGTGAGCTGATAGCTCAATCGCTCTGCTGTGCACCGGAGGATGTCTCCGAGCACGACGGGCCCAATTGGCCGGCACGCATCCGGCATTTCATGATGCTGGCACCATTGTCATACTCACTGGTCATCATGCTGAAGGACAAAATCTATGCGGTGCGGGATTCGTATGGAAATCGGCCGCTTTGCATTGGCAAGATTGTACCCATAAATTCGGGGCATGCGGGCAACAGCAGCGAAACACCCGCTGATGGCTGGGTGGTGTCCAGCGAAAGCTGCGGCTTCCTCTCAATTGGAGCGCGTTATGTGCGCGAAGTCTTGCCTGGTGAGATTGTGGAGCTGACGCGTCGCGGCTATCGCACCGTGGACATTGTGGAGCGTCCCGATTTCAAGCGCATGGCCTTCTGCATCTTTGAGTACGTATACTTTGCCCGTGGTGACAGCATCTTCGAGGATCAGATGGTGTACTCGGTGCGCCTGGAGTGCGGGCGTCAGCTGTGGCGCGAGGCACCTGTCGAAGCGGATCTTGTGAGCTCGGTACCAGAATCGGGCACAGCCGCCGCGCACGGCTATGCCAGAGAATCGAATCTGGACTTTGCCGAAGTACTGTGCCGCAACCGTTATGTGGGCCGCACATTCATTCAGCCATCGACGCGTCTGCGCCAGCTGGGTGTGGCCAAGAAATTTGGCGCCCTGTCAGAGAATGTGGCCGGCAAGCGGCTGGTGCTGATCGACGATTCCATTGTACGCGGCAACACAATTGGACCGATCATTAAGCTGCTGCGCGACGCTGGGGCCAGGGAGGTGCACATTCGGATTGCCAGCCCACCGCTGCGGTATCCCTGCTACATGGGCATCAATATACCCACGCGCGAAGAACTCATTGCCAACAAGCTGAATGCCATGCAACTGGCTCGCCATGTGGGCGCCGACAGTCTGGCCTATCTGAGTGTCGATGGCCTGGTGAAGTCGGTGCAGCGGAAGCAGGTGGCGTCTGGCAAGCCGACGGGTCATTGCACTGCATGTTTAACCGGTGAATATCCCGGCGGACTGCCCGATGACCTCAGCTGGTGAAAGAAAACGAATATTAAGCAGACATTCCTAATCCTCAACGATAACTATCCAGTATATAGCCAACGAGTGCTCCAAATTACGTTCACAAATTATGCAGTAGCTTTTTGTTGTTGCATTTAACGACCCACCATTTAAACAACTCTCCGCATATTAACTCTTAAGCTCAAATTATATATTTTATAATTATTTAGATTTAGTAGCGCTCTTCAGTGAAAAGCTCTCCATCTTTTTCCAACAAAAAGACATTTTGTGTACAAAAGTAAACAGCCTTCAATATTGCCAGATGAATGGCCATTGTTACCATTTACTGTAAATTTATCATTATTACCATTATCTGTACATTTATGAATGCCAATAATAAAAGACATTTAGCACAAGCATCTCAAGGAACAACACTCAATAGTTCAGTCCAAGGTAGTCTGCAAATTGCATGCCTCAATTCATTTGTAGATCAACGCAGATAAAAAACCAGTCGCGAAATTTGAGGTGCTAAATATTCTAAATTTGTATATAGCCACTATTCAAGTATTTGAGACAAAAAATTGTCATTCAATTAAAATTTTAATTCGTTTAATAATACGTTTTTTGAGGTTAATCTTTTATTCGTTGGCAAGTCCTTATGTAAGTAAATGTTTTCTTATCTCTTACGCTTACATAAGTGTTTACTTAATTATTTTTGTTTTTATAATGTTCTTTAGAATAATTTCAATTTACAATATAAAACTCGATCAAAACAATTTTAAGAACATTAATGTCAAACTGGAGTCGTTAATATTCAAAAGTTGAAATTTTATCGACTGCTTAGAACAGTGCTGGACAACGTCTGCTCGAGCTATCGAAATCGATACACGTCGACAGCTACACCTCTGTAAAAATTGTCATCTCATCCCTCTTTACTATGACGGAAAACACAAATTACTGACGTTTTCATTAATTTATAACTTAAAAAGGTGTCGGTCACTACACTATTCGTGCCCAAGATAGCTTAAAGGAGGTTTCATCGAAAACCACAGTCACAACACACACACAAATATGCGTTGTCCACAACCTTCAGCCGGTGCGCTAATTTCACTCTCGCTGCTTCTGTTACTGCTGAGCACCTGCTCTGCGCTCTACGAGGACCAGATTAAAAAGTTCGACTGGCAAGTGACATTTTTGAACATTGACCATTGATGTGCTAGATACTAATCCTCTGTCCACAAAACAGGCGCAGCGTTCATGTGGGTGCTCTAAAGCATGCCCACGTCGACCTGAAACACTTTCAGCCGCGTGTGCTGCTAACTACGCAGGAGCAAGTGGTTGCCTCGCTATGTCCAAAGACCGGTCAGATCATATGGCGGCAGGTGCTAGAACAAAGAGCACGCGGCGACATCAAGATGCTGCAGGTGAGCGGGTTTGCTGATGGTAGCAGCGATACGGCGGCTGCTCCAATGGGATCTCATCTAGGATTCGATATGCTGACGGTGCAGGGACATGCGCCTGCTCTGGTCCGTGGCTGGAACACCAACATTGGCACCATTGAGTGGGAATGGTCCATAATGCCGCTGCATACGGAGAGGGCACAGGATGCGGTGTGGTTCTATAGCAATTCGATACTGTATCATGTGGTGCCAGCGTGGCGCAGCCATATCGAGGTAACCGCCTACTTTTCCACCTCGGGACACACAACGGGCAGCACCAGCAAAATAATGGCTGCCTGGATCAAGCCCGAAAGCTGTCTGCTTAGCGGTAGCTATTTTGTTTGCCTGGACGGCAAACAACTAATAAGCTTGGATTTGGTGGCCAAGAGCACACAGGTCATCGCCACCAGTCTGGCGGCTGAGCCCAGCAGCAAAATTGAAACACTTCCCGTAAGTTGTATTAAATTTTACATGTTATGTAACTAATTGGGTGACTCTTTCCACAGGGGTTGAATGGCGTGCTGATTGTCAATAAGAAACTCGTCAGCGTCAACAAGGATCAGGCCGTATGTGGTGAATTGACCAGCGCCAGCTATGTTGTGGGCAGCTTTAATTATCGCAAAGTTGTGGCCTACGCCGATTTGGTAGATGGCGTAAGTAGCTAAAATCTGGCACCCGTTATAGAATTCTTAATCGAATCCGAACTTTTCAGATGCTCAAAATTAATGCGGTTTATTTGGATAACTGTTCGCCGGTGCCCGAACTGCAGATGAGCGTAGCCTTTGCCGAGGACTATGGGACGCCCAGTCTGCGATCCTTCGACTGCAAACTGAAGCGCAATGACGACGGCAAAGGTTGCCTCTTTCTGTTTGCCACCAGCGCCGAGTCCATTATGGCCGTGCAGCAGGGACGCATCCGATGGGCGCGCGAGGAATCATTGGCGAATATAATCGATACACAGTTCATTGATTTACCCCTAGCGGATACAGAGGGCACTCTTGAAAACGAAATGAAGGGCAAAGCTGGTGAGTTTATACCTCGTAATGGTTATTAATATTCACAAAAATCATATGATATATATTTTAAAATGCTTGCCAAAGTGGATGCAAACAATTTGAAGAGTAAGTTGATAGCTACATTATATTAATAGTTATTGATATTAGTTTACTATTGGTTTACTTAATTTCGCACACAACTATAATTTGTTAGGAAATTATTTGTTTAATTAATATGACTAACATCAGTTAACACAGATACAAACACACAGATAATACAAAAACGGCCACAAAAAAATTAAAAATAAAATTTCTTACTTAAATTGAAATTAATAAAAGAAAATAGGAAATATTTATAAGAAATAGATTTCTGTTCTTTGAACCAATTTCCTTGGATGTGCTTTTCTTATATTTAGATTCACATTTTGGTTTCTTAACCTACAATTTTTCGAGAGACGTATGCCAACAAAAATTTATTTTAAATGTCTCATATTCACATACATATGTATGTATATATATTTGGGGTCAAAAATACCCACTCTTCAGACACACAAATTCTAAACATGTAAACTTGATATGCAAATTATTGCGAATATTTTGTGACAGAAAGATGTATCAATAATCTTAATTATTTCTAAATGCATACTTTCTTTTTTCCAATTTGTGATTTTAGTTTTAGTTTTACCCCTAAATTCTGATAATGAAACTTGAAAAAAGAAATTCCTCCAATTATAACCTGCACTGCTGCTTTTTAAAAAGTGTTTTAACTTTTTTTGTGACAGGTGACATTGTTACCGCTTTCATGCGTCGCATCACCGCACAAGCCCTGCAAATGAAGAGCATGTTCTTGCATCTCATCGGGCTGGGACCACCGCCAACGGACACGCAACGCGCTGGACTTGTGCGCGACTCATTTGGTCTACACAAGATGCTGGTGCTGCTGACGCGTGCTGGCAAAATCTTTGGAATGGACAACATTGCCGGCAAGCATCATTGGAAGCTGTATCTGCCAAATGTGGCGGGCTTTGAAAATGCCGAACAGATGCGTCTGATTGTGCAGCGCAGCTCCAAGCACTTCCCATTGCAGCCACTCTGCGCAATTGTAGCCAAGTTTGTCGTAAGTCTGAAATGCATTTTGCTTACATCAGAAGTTACTCATAGAATTGTGTTCTTTCTCCTCGCAGAATAATAGCAATGGTGTCCTGTTTCGTTTCAATCCCATCACTGGTCGCGCTGCTGAAGGCGGACTCCTCCAGCTGGATTACCAAATCAAGCAGTTTTCGCTGCTGCCCGAAACGGAGGTAGACTTTGTGAAGGGGATACTCATATTGGATGCTGCAAATCAAGTTCATGTAGAACCAAAGCATGCAACGCCATTGGTAAATTGTATACTTAACAAATTAACTACAACTTTTTAATTCGTATCCCACTATAATATTACAGGCGGACGGCATGTATTTGTACACGGCTGATGTGAAGACCGCCGAGCTCGAGGGCTACATTGTAAAATATGCGGGCGGTGTAAGCAAAAAAATATAATGTTTGGTGGCAGCAGTTAATCATTTGTGTACTTTCAGGAATTGTCATGCTTGCCCATTTGGAATGTGCGACTAGGCGGCCATAATTCCGAGCAGCAAATCATTAGTGTTGCCGGCAAAAATCCAATTGAGCACGTTCATTCCCAGGGTCGTGTGCTTGGCGATCGCTCCGTGCTTTACAAATACATCAATCCTAACTTGGTGGCCTTTGTCACACAAGCTCCAGATGCCGCGCACAAATGTAGGTCATCCATTCCCATCATCTTTCCACATACAATTTTAAATTTAACTAATTTATGTTTGTAATTTAGCTGTGCTCACTTTGTATTTAATTGACGTGGTTTCCGGCTCCGTGATCTTCTCGATGACACATCGCAAGGTGCGTGCACCGCTGAACATTGTACACTCGGAGAACTGGCTAGCCTACTCCTACTTCAACGACAAAGTGCGCCGCACCGAGATCAGTAAGCATCAATTGAATATTATTTGAATTTGTTTTATTGAGATTGTTTTTACTCCAAACAGCTACCATCGAACTGTATGAGGGCAATGCACAGGCCAACAACAGCGTGTGGAGCTCCTTGCAGGCACCGTTCATGCCGCTCGTCGAGCGCCAGTCTTACATCATACCCACTATTGTTGAGGCCATGCGTGAGACCATCACTGAACGTGGCATTACCAACAAGCATGTTCTAAGTAAGACTGCGTCTAACCCTAATTCGGTGTAGTGGATTTTAATATATTGTATTTTGTGTCGTACAGTTGGCACCGCCAGCGGTGGCATAGTTGAAATGCCGTGGCACTTGCTGGACCCACGTCGTCCCATCTCGTCGAGTACGCAGGGACGTGAAGAGGGCGCCATTCCCTATATACCCGAGTTGCCTTTGCCGACGGAGAATTACATAAACTACAACCAGACGGTTGCACGTTTGCGTAATATCTACACAGCTCCTAGCGGCCTTGAGAGTACCTGTCTAGTCGTGGCCACGGGCTTGGGTGAGTCGAAAACACTAAATGAAATATGTAATTAATTTCAAAGGTAATAATTTTGTTTATTTCATTGCAGATTTGTTTGTGACGCGCGTTGCACCTTCCAAAACATTCGATCTGCTAAAGGAGGATTTCGATTATATATTAATTTCTATAGTGCTAGTCGTGCTCACTTCGGGCTCTTTGATTGTTAGGCATTTATCGTCTCGTAAGTTGCTCAAACAGGCGTGGAAATAGAAGTGGCATTTTTATAAATATATAATTGCTTTATATAAATTGTACTACGACCAAAAAGATAAAAAAAGAAACGAAGTGGAGTAGACGAAAGAGAATGAATTGTAGTAGCTGCATTTTGCCTAATAATGCAATAATAACAATTTTTTCTTGAGGCTTAGGCAATTATTTAAAATTAAATATATATAATTATATATATTATACATATATATAGCGTAAAAAGAAAGTAACTAGCTGTTGAATGAGTTTTAATTGCATTTTTGTTTCATTTTGTGTTTACTTTCCATACTTCAAAATATCAGCATTGAAATTGTATGTTTTGAAATTAGTCAATAAAAAAACATTTGTGAGAAGGACTATGGTAAATGAAAGTTTTTCAATTCTCCCACTAGATAAATATATGTTTAATCATCCACATGTCATGTGGTAGCAAAACATAATATAAACTATTTAAATTAAATTAGCGAAGTGATCGGTAATTTGACATTATTCACCAATCAACCTTGAAATCTATGCATATCGAGTTACATAAAATGTGTTATTACACAATTTCTGTTATTATTACCAAACTTTCTGCAAAGGATAAATATAAAGGGATGCTCAATATCTGAGTTTTAGACAAACTTTAAAATGTTCAATACATTTTTTAATTTTGTGGCACAATTTAATGGTCATAGAGCTGCCACCTAGTTTTTTTTGTCTACTGCACAACACTGACGCAGGGGAACAGCTGATTGCTGTCTTCCTCTTCCTGCCCCATCGTGCGCCAATACACAATAACGATGGCACTGCGTGTTTTCGGTTTAAATATAATAAAAACTAACAGAACTTTGCTTCATAATGCTGTCAAAACAAATGGAGCGTCCAATTCCCAAGCGGTAAGTTGTGTGTGCAAACTGTGACATGTTTGTAGAACCACAATTTTGAGTTACAAAAACTAGACTTTTTTACACCGTTTGCATAACATTTTAGGTAGCAATGGCGCCGTATGCCACACAGGTCACCGTTCAGGCCACACCTGCAGCGGTGCAGAAGCAAAAGGTTAGCAAGGCCATGAAGGCATACCTGGAGCGGGCCAATGAACACGACGAGTTCATGAAAACGCAGCATTTGGAGTTCCAAATTGGAAAGCGTCACTTGGCCAACATGATGGGTGCAGATGCCGAAACCTTCACCCAGCAGGACATAGATGTAAGTATAATTAATTATATATATTAGAGTGTTCCTTACGAGCCATTTCACTTGCAGGAAGCTATCGCCTATCTATTCCCTTCCGGTCTGTTTGATAAAAGCGCTCGTCCAGCAATGCGAACGCCAGAGGAGGTTTTCCCAGCCCGTAAAGCAGCCGAATTCGACGAAACTGGTCGTCCCTTCCACAGCATGTTCTACACAGGCAAACCAAACTTTTTTCAACTGCTGCATGTAAGTTTTTCCAGTTTATATCATGACACAAACAAATCTCACAATCACAATATGTGGCAGGATATTGTGAAGGAAACGCACAAGCTTTACGATCTTGAAGAGCGCATGCTACGGCGCGGAAATAAGCCAGATGAAAACCAAAAGATGTAGGTCCTATGCACCTACCGAACTTGCAACAAGCAACTTACACTTTTCTCATATTTCAAGCGAAACTGCAGGTTTTCAACTGTTGCCCAAGGAGCAGCTTGAGCGAATGCTCGTGGAGCACATAGCAGACATTGAGTATCTAAATTTCACCAATACAATGGAACGTTTAATCTCCTCCCCGTATGCGTACAAGAGCAAAGCATTTATTGAGCGCTTCCTAAAGCCCCTGATCGATCAGTCCAAGCAACTGGAGGTGCCCAAGCCAAAGATTGATGGAGACGGTCGCCAGTACATCACAACGTACGAGTGTCTGCGAAAAACGGCTCGCGCTGATGTAACAGTCCGGCTGCCCGGCACCGGCAAGATAACGATCAATGGCCACGATATCTCGTATTTCACTGACGAACAGAACAAAGAACAGGTGAGTTACATAAATCAGCAATATATATTGCACGATTTCAAATTTAGTGTAAGCAAATGATAAAAAAATCTATTTAATCTATGCAAATTAGATGCTTTGCTTAGAAAAGTCAACGTAGTAGATATATATTTGTAAGTATAATTCTCACGTGATATGTGAAACTAACTTAAAGAGCAAAATCTTCCATTCCATTAGCATAAATAGTTGCGTCAATATAGCCAGTTCAGTTAATCAGTCTGGTTTTATGCAAATTATTCTGCTGGTTGTTTAATTATCTTGATGAATCGGTAGGATGGGAAAACTTACCAAGTTGAGCCAAAAACGATCAACATCGAATTACTATTCTATAATTTATATAGCTCCATTCTTAATTTTTCCTCTACTTTAATAAATAGTATCACCAAGCTTAGAAAGTAGATTACTAGGAACCTTCTGCAACATATTTCTTTCGACCACACCCGCTTCCGACCACCAAAAATGCTCAAAAGCCTATATTTCTCATAATTTAAGAGCCAAGGTTACCAAATTACTAGAAGCGTGCTTCAAAAGTCGGTATTTCTTGTGTGCACCTGCTATCAGCTGGTGTTACTTATTGGTATCAGAGTATTTCTCAATCGATTACGCCCGACTGCAACATTCCTACTGTTTTTTTTTCTTTTTTTATTTCATAATATCTTGATGACCTAATATTAATGGAAAAAACTTAGCATCTCGCATAAAACTCTAAAACAAACCGGCATATTTTGAGTGAAAAGTAAAAGTTAATTTGAGCTGTGTGCAGCATTTAACTAGAGGCGGGGAATAGTTAGTCACTTTGATAGTTATAACAATAGTTGTATGGATAGTTTATTATTATTATTATTATAAAACATATATAACTTGCATATTTAATTATCATTTTAACGCTTCTCGTGCGACAACGCCAAACAACAAAGACACAGCCTAAAACCAGGCACAGACATAGACTCAATCAAACCTGCCAATCTTCTCGCCTCTAATGTAGCCTAAACAACTAGTTATTTATATAATATATACATATATGCATATATACTTTATATATACTGTATATTGTAGGTAAATTATAGTTTTTTTCGTATATGGCTAAATAGCATATGGATTTATGTCGAGGAGCGTCGATCGCTTCAAATATCAAATATACTAACTACAATATAATATCAACAATTTTTTCGGGTTCTTCGGGTCAGCGTGTGACTCGCACGCACTCAAGAAGAATCTAAGGCCTAAGAATTGTGTAGCAAATGGTGATTTAGATGATTATATATATATATGTAAATATATATAGGTAATATCAGTAGATGGCATCGTGTGTACTCCAGTTACTTGCGGAGATGCTGCTTCTGCTGATTGGAGATGACGATGAGCAGCTTGTCGATCACTTTGCTCGCCTGTTGCTGCTGTGAGATGAGCACCTGCTTCAGCTCCTGAATCTCCTGGGTGAGGAACTCAATGCGATCGGCATTCTCATCGATTTTGCTCGTTAATGTGGTCATCTGCGTCGAATCGGGATCCGAATCGGGCAGCGCATATCCATTAGTGGATATACAGCTATTATTATTGTTGTACTTATTCTTGTACGACAAATAATTCTCGGCCGGATTCTTTGATGAAATTGTGTGTCCGAATTGTTTGCGCATTTTGCCCACCTCGTACGCCTTCATTAGAATATCCCGCGGCAATCGCTTCTCGCTGGGATTCAGTGGCTTGACGCAGAGCACCACGCGATATGCCTGCGGCGAGACAAGCGCCGTATAATGGAGCAGATTACGCAACCATGTCGGCAAATACCCATTGAATAAGGCTGACTCAATGTAACTAATCAGCTTCGTTTGGCGCACCAGCTTCGAAAGACCCGCGGTCTTCTTGAGTCCCTGGATGTCGTGCACAGCAATGCCCACTAGTAGATTCATCAGAATGATCGTCACGAAGAGCAGGAAGAGCACAAAGGTGATCTGTGCACTGACCTCCAGCAGAAAAGGTGGATCCTTCCCATCGGGATCATTGATAAGCAGCGACAGATCCTGTTCGCCAATCATCATAACCAGCACCGAGATGAAACCCATGAAAGGATTGGCAAACGACGACGATGACGGAAAGATGACACAGAAACTAATCGTAAATCCGATCAACATGCACGAATAGGCCATAAACAGTTTGGCAAACTCCCCCTGGACCCGAGTATACATTGCCACATACACATCGAAGACGGGCAGCTGGCCAATCATCAGCATTAGATTCGTCCACCCGAGGAGGACGGCGAAGGCGCCAATGTGATTCTGGAACGTGTACGTCTGCTTCGTGTATATGTACGAGATGACAAAGACACTGGTGATGACAAACCACTCCATGATGTTCTCCACTTGGGTCACGTAATGCCGGAACGAGGAGTAGCCCGTTATCCCATATAGTTTACGGAATATCTCCACTATGGTGATGGCCACCAAAACCCACCATTGCATTTCCATGACAAACGGATTGTTGCGCAGCATATCGCCCAATATGGACTGCTTCTGGCACAGCTCCTGTGCCTGGATGGTCGTATTGTCATCCTTGCTGCCATTGTAACAGTTGTGGGCCAAAGCTGTCAGCACGTAGAGCGTGAGGAAGAGCACAAAGCTGAAGCAGAAGATAAGGCGACCGATGTAATACTTTCGGATCTTGCCCCACTTGATGTACAGAAAGGATGAGCACAACGGATGCTCCAGTATCTCCTTCTGGCCCTCATCAACGAACGTATTCAAGTAGCTAATCTCACGCGGATGACAATGCTGCAGCAGCTGACGGAAGTCCAGCTCCAGTTCCACCTCGCGATTCACGGGATCCTAATGGAAAATGGCAATAGATTAATGTTAATCAAGTTAATCGCATATTCCGCTCACCTGGGAATGATGCAGTGTGATGGCCGCGTCCAGTTTTTGTCGTATCATGGCCACCGAGGCTGGCGTCTTGCGTGTAATGACATTCAGGGCGGAGGTACCCTTCTTAGATTTTGTGGTTACATCGGCGCCATGAAAGATGAGCATCTCGACGCACTGCACCAGACCATCGAGTGCGGCCAAATGGAGTGCGGTAAAGCCATAGATGTCCTTGTGATTGACATTGGCACCCCACTGGATCAGTGTCTCCATGATGTCGTAGGCATTCTCCGATTTACCCACTGCAGCATGCAACGGTGTCCGATGATCGAAATCTTCGGCATTCGCATCCGCATTCCCATTGCGGAGCAGCGATTCGACGCACTCCAAGCTGGAGGTGCGTGCGGCAAGGTGAAGTGGCGTGAAACCACGATGATTCTTTAGCTTAGCATCGGCGCCCTTGGACAACAACAGATCCACACACTCCACGTTGCCCTCGTCGGCGGCCAGATGCAAAGCCGTCGATTCCTTTTCACGGATGCAGATGCGCACATTGGCATCGGCATTCGGGGCATTCAGCAGCGCCTCCAAGCACTGCAGATGCCCCAGATCAGCGGCCAGGTGTATGGCATTGGTGCCATTCGGCTTCAGCGAATTCACATCGGCTCCCTCGGTAATGAAGAGCTGCAGGCACTCCAGTGCATTGGAGCGAACGGCGCAGTGGAGCAGACTCTCCTCACAATTGGGCTTGTTCGTATCTTTGGTGATCTGAGCTCCGCTATTGATGAGGAGCTTGGCCGCCTCGGCAGCATTGCCAAAGGCGGCACAATGCAGCGGCGTATAGCACTTGGGCTGCAGATTAACATTCATGCCCTTGGCCACGAGCAGATCCAGCGTGGCCAGGCACCCACTGAAGGCGGCCAAATGCAAGGCTGAAATGCCATTTTGATCGCAAAAATGCAGATCGGCACCAGCTGCAAGCAGAGCCTCGATCAGATCCCAGCGCTTGAGGAATGCTGCCCACAAATAGCTGAGATTCTTCTCCAGCTTCGAGGCGGTCTCAAAGTGTTTGCCCAGACTCTCAGTGACCACATTGCCCTGCTCAATGTCCTCCAGCAGGCGCACCCGGCCCGCCGCACTCTTGATCTGATCGATCAGACTGATCCGTAGCGTATCGTTGCAGATTTGAACGCTCAGCTCGCTCGTTGGCTCCTCGAAGCTATCGTACATGCTCGGCGCACTCTCCGCCGGCGGCGATGGACCACACTCCATGTATTCGAATTCACCAGCTGTCGGATACTGGGCTTCGATCATGGCGTCAGTGTTGTTCCGCCATCGCACCATCAGATTGGGTGGAATCGATTTGAAACTGTTGTTAAAAAAATACACACACACAAAATTGCCATTAGCTACAGCTGCCAGTTTATGGTTATGCATATTTTAACAATTAAAAAATACAAATTATATAAAAATATATAATTTACAATCTGCAAGGCATTAATATAAAGCATGCATTTAAAGGAGAGTTACCGCTTAGGAATTAAAATTCGTAGAAATTTTCATTTGTTTTTGCATAGAACTTTATCAGATTTAAAGAAATTTCTCCCTAACTAATTAATATGCTATGCTAGTTGCTGTGTCAATAGTTAAATTACTAATAGATGAAGTAGATTGATAGTTTTACTGTTCCCTCCACTTCCACATTACTTCTTCCCACTTTCTCTTAGGCGTTGCTCCACTAATTATTTCTTCCGTAATGATTACAATAGACTTGATCTTCTTATATATTTCCCTATTTCTATCACTAAGAACCCAATTTCAATAAATATTTTCATTTGCTTAATATTTACATTTGTAGTTGCAATTCACCGAATTTTGTAATTTTTGGATTCTCTGTTTTTCCAATCCATGCAACAAATGTTGCCCCAAGTTTGCATATAAAACCCTCCAGAAATTTTAACATTTTTCTTGTTTTCTTAATTTAAATTCAAATATTCAATCTTAGTTTCGATTTGACTTAATTTATTATATTTACTTTTTGTATTTTTCGATGTCGGCTGATATTAGTCGCCATTAAATAAATTAAGTTAAATATTGGCCCTGCTGTATTTCATGGTTGTAGACATAATTCCTAATTTATTAATTTAATATACTTGCTAATTCAGCAATAAAGTTGTTTCGATTAGCTCTCTGAAATCTTCTTTGCAACTAATAATGTTCTAACAATAAATATGAATAGAAATATCAGTTTTTAAACGATCTATAAAATGTAAATCGACCGGTCTACTTATTTAAAATTTTAAACTCTTACCGAGCGTGTTCAAATTTGTTCAGATATGCAAACGTATATCATAATCCATAAATATTTAATATATATTATTATTTACTTTGTACAGATTGCACATTTTGAAATACTTTGTCTAATGACTGAAAAGCACAGCTTTATTAAACTTTAAGCTTTGACCAGCAAAGGGAATTGAGAGATATCTAAATATCATTTTTATCACTGCAGAACGTAATCACTTTTTATGTATCCATATTAATTGACAATTTTGTACAATGTAATTAGAATTGTGTTAATATTTTTTTTTAACAAAACTCTGCTTTGTTTTCACAAATCACTTAAACTTATTGAAGTTTGTCGTCGTTTGCTTAAACTGCAGTCATAACAGAAAAAATGAATGGATGAAACTATCACTCGTCTCATTTGGTAGTATCTATATATTTATATATATATATATAACTATATATATATATAAATATACTGTAAACAAGAGTAGAATTTATGACTTTGTCGCATGACTAATTAGATAATGAAAAACTTTTGAAGAGAGTATTAGATATTCTGCACTGTGATAATATTGATGATTTGTGGCTAGTATTGTTGCCAGCTTCAACTGTGTTTAGATTTTTTTTTTAATGTACTCTTGTTGTTTATGGTTGAAATGACACTGAAAGTTCGTTTGCTGCACGTTGCTGACTGCGAGGCATGCATAATTAAGAATGTCGTTAATCAACATAATATGTATATTGAGTTATGCAAAGGCGGCAAGTTTCTTATGTGTGTATAAATTATTTATTTATTTTTATACATATTCTTTTTTTTTTATTGTTGTTGTTGTTGTTGTCTATAGTTGTGCACTTTGTTATAGCCAAATCACATTTGTCATCTGCTTCAACTGCCGGCGGTTTTTCTTATGTCTGCTTGTTTCGCATTCTCACAGTTGATAATTTCAAATGCAGCTTTTGCATAATTTCAGGGAGAAACTGAGTCCCAGGGACTGTTTCCTAATCATGCCGGGCTTTGTTCTGCACTTAGTGCAGAAGTGTATTACTTATGTGTGTATGTGGATTTTACGTACACCGTTTGCAGCCATATCCACGGATGATGCCAATTCGCTAATGAGCTATTTTCAATTTCTAATTTCATTTCCAAAATGCGACGTCGCTGATACACACATAGGAGATAGCCCGACCAGTTCTCCACTGACTGAGTGACCCATCTACAGACTGATCCGATACGACGACAGACAGAGAGATAGACAGACAGACAGACGTCAGACAGGTAGACAGTCAGTCAGTGCGGGCCAAGTGGCTTACAATGGTTGCCTTTTGTGGCGCTTTAAACAATTGTGTCTAACGGACGGAAAATGCAAAAAAAAAACAAAACGAAAACGATGTGAGAAAAACGCGAACTTTTCACTTCCGTTGATCGTATGCAGGTATTAGTTAGTCTGCCTATATAAACTGGCGGAACTACGACGAACTGCGAACGCGCCTTGGCGAATTATATTTGTTTTTTTTTTTTAGTCAGCAACTAACGCGTCCGCCTGCATTGTTGTTTCAATACCGACTGATGGTTGGAAAACGGTAAGCGCTGCTCAGTGCCAGCTCAAGTTGATCGAGCTTGAAGCAGAAACACACACACACACACCCACAAATATGTGTGAGAGAGTGAGAAAGATGAGGCGTGAGAGTGACTGACTGCCAAAATCAAAAAAAAAAAAAAGAAACTAGCTGCCAAAACAAGAGAGTTAATTGAACGCGTGAGAGTTGATCTGAGTTGTGGAGTGAGTAAAGCGTAAATTTGGCAAATTTGCTGCAGACGAAAAGAGAGACTGGAATGCTACCTAGATTTGATTATTTATAGAAGTAGGCTGAAGAAAATCCAACTGCATGCCGAGTAAAGTGTTACAGTGTTGCGCACAACGCTTTAACTCTTGACTCTTTCAGTCTAACTCAGACACCAACTCAATCGCGTAATTTTAATAATACAAACGGACTTCAACCAAGTCGAACTTCACCAATCCGAACTCGTACTTTGTAACGCGAGACTAATTAAGTGGAAATAGCGCTTAGAGCCAATTTCTATATATAATGTATTCTCCATAATTCGAACTCGAATTCTTAATATGGGCTTTGAGTGTCGTTTAAAATGAAATGAGTATATCTTATATTTAATATATTTAAAAAGAAATTGCATACATTATTTAAATTGTCGATTGTTTATAAATAAAATTTAAATTCTATTTATTGCAGTTGGTCGTTTGAGTTACTTGTGATGCTTGGCAAACTCAATATTCAATTAGACATCCAGCAGTTCATTGTAATTTTTACATTATTCGAATCGCATGCTATTATTCAATACTTGTGTTTACTCGAATAATAAATTCCTGAGTTTTTTTTTATTAGTTTCTCTTGAAGTAGAAGTATTCTTTTTTCCATGAATTCGCAAGCGTGGGAACAATGAAAGCGCGATCTAGACAACAAGTTATGGTTAGTTACATTATAAGCTAAATTAGCTAATAACTGTAAAGCTGTTATTTTTATAGTCGTCATGTTACTGGCCCCACCCAAAAATCAATTGATCCTCTACGTGCGCAAATTTTTATCTTTTCCCTGTGGCATTGTTTAGGTATTTTTTTCGGGGTTCGTCTCGAATAACAAGTTGCATGCATGCATATAAATAACTGAGTGGGACACTCAAATGCAGCATTGCCACTTACCGGTTATTCGCAGCATTATTTTCATTGAGCGGCTGCTCCACTTCGGTCTTGGTAACGACGCTGATGGAACGTGTCATGCGACGCGGCTTCGTGCTGCCCTCCTTGTAGCCGAGATTCTCCATGGCGACCACAGACCTTGTTGCTTTACGCGTTCCACTTGCAGTTGAAGTTGTCACAGCTGCTGTTGCTGCTGCTGGTGTTGCTGCTGCTGCTGGTGTTGCTGCTACTGTTGTTCTTGATGTTGTTGCAGTTTTCGTATTGGAAAAACGCGCAAATATGCACCAAAATTCAAGCCAAGTCGCTGCACTTACATACGTTTTAAATAAAAGTAAACCAGGCGACAAACAAAAATGTACTTTCCAATATCAGCAACGCAAATTTATAGACCAGTTTCTTAACGTTTGTTCGCTGTCTGACATTTAAGGCCGCAACTTTGGCTTGAGCTTTGTTTTTGGGTTTGGGTTCAGCTGCAACGAAAATGGAGAATGTTTTTGTTTATTACTTTTATCCCACTCCCTGTGTGTGATCCACTGTGGGATTGGATCACAACTAAATCAAGCAATTTGCGATTACGTTCGGTGCCAGCCTATACGCATAATCTGCACAGATATAAACCAAATATTGACATTAGCATCTTTTTTTGAGTTTGCTGCTCTGAATCTGCTCTGACTTCCCCTGGCCTCTTCCTTTCGGACTAGTCGTGGGTTTTTTTGCGCACGCCGAATGCGACAATCTTGGTGGGGACTTATCTAAACACTCATCCCATTTGACGCAGCGATAAGACCGGCCATATAAACAGTAGTTTCATCAGCATCACGAGACACACTCCAACTAACTATATTCTTTTTTTTTTTTTCGAATAGAAAACGAAGAGCATATTGTAAATGTGAGACTGGAGACAATAAGCTTTAAATATAGAAATCGGAGCTCCTTTAAAATTCGATCATAAAACAATGCCGACAATGCCGAAATATTGCCAACACCCCTGACTATAAATTCTAAGAACTTCAGCTATAATTACAAGTATTTTTACGGTACAGGGTATTACAAAGGCTGTAGATATTGACTACATCATTTTGATATTTTTTTTTGCTTTGGGAATTTATCTAAAAGTGCTACTGGATAGCGTTTTTGTAAATTAATCGGAGCAGTGGCTGCAAATTTAGAGGGGTGCAAATCTTACTACAAATTTCTATAGCATTTTCGATAGAAAACAATTAAAGTCTTCTAAAATATGGATATTCAAAGCTATAACAAATTTAAATTCAAAGTTAAATATTGTTTCGATGTTGAATAAAAAAGTACTCATCTTTTAAGAAAGGTTTTAAAAACTAAAAAATTGGTGTTATATTGCTTATGAATGAAAGAATAAGTCAATTTAAATTCAAAGAAAAAATGGGGGTATTAAATATAATATGGTCCAACAATTATTGCCGATGAAAGGACAGGGATGGGTGCATAATCAAGGCAACGCAACGGGCAAATTCCTTGTATACAGTTTTAAAGTAAGTTCAGTCACACCCATTCACATACAGAAATTGGCATGTACTGTCTGAAAATAAGGTTGGGAAAGAAAAAATGCACAATTTACATAATTATATATACATTAATGCTTGGTTGATTTTGTTACTGCATTTAGGCAAGTGTTAATGCCTTGAGTCAGAGTATTTGTAAACACAAATATTGAAAGAACGAGAACAACTACTTAAACATTACGAATTGAGTGTGTATTAATGCTCTTTATATAAGTGTTTTGGACACGTGAACTTTCGACTAATCACTTTTACCACTAAAAGATGCGATAAATCTACTAAAAACTGACTGCATAATAAATTTGATCGAATATATGTTCCAGGAATAGAAGCAACATTTCTATCAGTTAGTGAATGAATTCAACTTCAAATAAATATTGATTTTATGAATTTGCGAAACTTTATAATTTGAAACCAATTTGCTTGGCATATTTAAAGCTCTCAAAGCACTTTCTAAGCACTTTAGCACTATTTTTGTATATCCTTTTAAAATATTATACAGCTTATACAAATCTCCATTATTGATTTAAAGAGTGAAATTTACACAAATTTTGTTGACTCAATCAAATATTTGTGAAAAGAAGAAGTTTCGGATTTTAGGTTTATTTTTAGATTAATGAAAATTGTGTCACTATCTGCGATGCAATTTTTGTAGTATGCTTAATAATTTAAAATGCTTTGTGTGTGTTTTTTTCGTACAAACAAAAGCATTTGCTTCTCTGTTGATTTCTAGCCAGATTTTGTTTGTTCACATTATTTACAATTTATGTCAACGTCAGCGGCTCGCCTGCTGGGCATTCATTCATTTGTTGAGTAAATTCCGTTTGGTATCATGGGTAACTAACCAGGCAGTGAGACTGCTCGTGGTGTGCCTCGGGTGCGGTTCAAGTTTTGTAAAACGTAATTCGCTAACTCTTTCGAAAAGATATCTTGTTAGCGGCAATTTGAGGGCTATACAAAGAAGTCTATCGTATAACTCTCGGGCTACCGAGCAGCAGCCTCCCGTCAAACGTTGTTTAGGCCAAAGAGCACACCTCATTTAGTATTTTTTTTTGTTTAGGCACGCTCAGATATTTAATTATATTTATTTGTTTGTTTGATTGCACTTGCAGCTCGTTAGAGCTGTTGCCATTGCGCAATCTATTCATTGCTGATCCAAAATGATTAACAGCAGAATTACGTGAAATTGAATTGTTTTGTTTTGCTTTGATTTTCTTAATTGCAAACAAAAAGCACACTAACAAAAAAAAAAACAAAAAAAAGGAAAGCAATAAACAAATAATGAATTGCAAATTATTAAAAAATAGCTTAGGAAGCTCTGCGGGGAACTCTTGAACCTGTTTGCGTATCAAAAAAAAAAAGTAGACATAAATACAAACAAGGCGATAAAAGCAGACAGCTGGGGAACTACACGTGCCTGGAAACAAGCCACTGAAATTGACTTTCTTAATCCGCACTAAACGATCGAAAAATTTGAGCTATTGGCCAATTTACTGGTCAATCAGACATCGAATCCAATTTCGACAACATAAAAAGAAATAATATAAAACTGTTGAATGAATTACTATGCGCACAAACTAATTAAATTCTTCGAGGGGCCAACGACTAAGTCGAAAAACCAGTTTGCAGTTCTCGGGTCTCGGACTCGAATTCGAATCGCCAGTTGAAAGTCTCTAACACTATAAATAAATATTGGCTTTCAACGCCCCCATAGTGCAAAATCAACCAAATGATGTATTCACAAAACGGCCCAACATAATCTGATTTAATGCAGAGCAAGTATCGAATCAAAATCGAGACTTAAAAGTGGCGAGTATTTTCTTGTTGAACGATAAGAAGTAGAGGTAACTGTTGAAATAAAAGATTAGAATACAAGTGCCAGCATTGAGCCGGAAGCGCCATTTGCAATTTATCGTTTAGATGCGACGATGCAACGTCATTTTGAAACTGCGCCGCCCCCAAAAAATCAACTCTGCCTTAGTTTCAGTTCGTTTCGTTTCGGTTCGTTTCGTTTTTTTTTTCTTTTTCGTTTGATTGTTTACTCGTTCCTTCGTTCGGTTCGTGTCGTTTCGTTTTGCTTCGTGTCGTTTCGTTTGGTTCGTTCGCTTTCTTCGTGTTGCGTTGATTCAATTATAATTGAAACTAATTTGAATTTCTACGGACATCATGACGACAAAGGCGAGAAAACGGGCAACGGGAGCGTGGTGGTGGATAACAAAGCGAGCATCATGTTGTGCCCATTGGAAAGGCAAAGCATTTGTGCGAGACTTGCCAGATGAATTATATTTTTGCATTGCTGTCCGAATGCCCTTGAACCTGAAGCACCCCCCCTGCTGCTCACAAGCTGGGCACTTATCGTGCACGTAACCGTAATTTAATCTCCACCAATGAAAGGATAATACAACAGTAGATTGCAACGCAAATGTGTATGTAATCGAATACAAACGGAAAGAATACTTCTTGATAAAAGAAACGTATTTCGTGGAAACCGTTGACAATAATTAATGCGAAGATAAAAGAACCTGTACCGCTGGTCAATTTATCAAAGTAGAAAACGCATAATTAGCAATTTAATGTTGCAAAATAAAAAATCAATTATTAATGTATGTTATTAATGAATATTGATTTTTTTTCTTTTTTTTGTTTACGCCAAATTTCGAAATACTCCGCTAATTGGTTACAAATTAAAGACGAATGACTTGCGAGAACAGTGGAACTCTTTTAGTTATTTGTGACCGAAAAGTTTGCCTTATTCCTGAAATGTGATTTACTTTATGCGTGTGCTGGCCAAAGCCGGTGTTTTTGCAAATGGCGCCACATTGCCCATTATCCAAATGAGAATAAAAATAAACCGATAATGTATCACTTTGCAGCTCTCAGCTCGGTGTAAAATTTTCCGCGACTTGAAGCGCGACAACAGCGTGGATTGACTGATAAAAAGAACTGCGCCGAGATGATAATGGAGACCACAAGTTTCGATGTGGATGCGATTTTGTGGGAGGTGGATGAGCGAATCCAATTTTTTGAGCGCGCGCCAATGAAGCTGAATGTACACTTAGTATATATACTATATATATGCCCGCCTCATGATATCAACAGTATCATCTCATCATCATCGTCATCGTCGTTATCGTTATCGTCATCATCTCTTCTACTTAGATTTATATACACACATGTACAGTTGGCTGTACGCTTATGGCTGGGGAAAAGCTAAAGTGAGCAGCTTTTCGAACGCTCCACAGAACCAGCTAGCCAGCCAGCTATCAAATTCATTTAAATCATAATAAAATGTGACACGAGATATCTTGAAGCGCCGCTGGTTCAAAGCATTTTTTTAACCGGCTAGCCAAAAGAATTTTCCGCTCCCCTTCCCCCACCCCTCGGTAAATATATGTTTTTTTTTTTTTGATCTGAGCTAACCTGTTCCATAGATGAACATTAACGTGTCGCCTCCCATTTGCGAGTTTAGTTTGTTATTTTTTGTGTGTGTTTACTTTAATTGCCAAGTACCAAACAATTAAGAGTCTTGTTCGCCGCCATTGTCGCTGTGGCTTATTATTATTTGTTGTTGCGTGAAGTCATCTGACAATTCGCTTAAACAAATTATAGATACACAAACAAATCAAAATAATTTTGTCAAGTCTGCAATGATTGATTGTTTTCATTCTGCCGGGCTTTGCAGCCACATTTTGTCAGCCTCTATTTTTTTTTATTTTTGTTTTTTACCAAATTTGTGCTCGTTGCTGCTTTGTTTGCGTCTTTTTATTATGTATTTTTATTGTTTATTCGTTTTTAATCATAACGTTTATTGTTTGTGTGCTGTAGACCATATTGTTTGTATATACGACGCTAACTGGCTTTCCCACGCATTTCGAAAATAGCCCAAAAAACGTCAAACAAAATAAATCTGTTGTCAAATTGGACTTTGCAATTGGCGTCAGAGTTCAGATTTGTATTATTTGCATTTGCATATCTGTGCCGTTGAATCGATTTATTATATTTTGATAAGTATTCAACAATATGGTCTTATCCATGTTTAGTTCCTGCAATTTTTTATTTTTGGACAACATCTTCAGGCCTTACATAATAACACGATTTTTTGCGACACACACAAAATGGTCCTTCCTTGTCCATAAATTAACTCCGGTTTTTGTACCCAGTTGGAACTGGCACTGGATAGCTTTCGGTGTTCGACAGGCAATCAATTTGAAAATGGCGTATACACAAATTCAAATGTTATAAGGGAACTGTGAACAGTCGCCGCTCCAGCCCCGCCCCAAGCATATGCAAATGCATTTACCCAACACCCATTTGAACACGTTGTGTGAGCTGCTTAGCCTGCGGCTAGTAATTATCACCTTGTCATGAAGTAATTATACCCTCTAACCACAAATCTTACTAAATGGGTATGTGCACGACCAAAGAAAAACACTTAAGGATAGGATATATAATGAAATGTGACTACAATTTGATTAAATTGTTGAATTTGTTGTGAAAGAAGCATCCTTTAGCAAAGTTTTAAAAATTTGTAGACTAGTACGACTACTAACTGGTACAGGAATTCATCTTCTGATCAATACTATGTAGTAATTCCATGCATTAAAATACCCCCAGTTAGGGTATAGACTTCACGCCATCGTACCCTATCATGCCACATATGCGTGGTCTAATTTATGCTTATTAACTCTGGTTGGAATGTCAAAAGTGATTTGTAAAATTTGACAAAAGTAAATTTGAACTAAAATTAAATATTATTAAATTATACACATTCTACAATGTCGATCAAAAACGAACAACGTCAATTACCTTCTGGTACAGGTAAAAAGCAAAATATTCATAGTGTAAACATGTTTTGAAGCGTAACGTGAATTAAATATCAGAAACTAATCATTGTGCTTTTGTGTACCTTTAGTTAAAATGAGTTGCTCTAAAAAATGTCAGCTTAGACTAAACTTTAGCTGATATTGAATGTAGTTAAAATAAAATAGTTTGTTTACTTTTGCCGATAACTGCCTTAAAAGTCACACCTTTCAAATGTTTAATTTCCTTGAAAATAAGAAGAGGTGTTTGCTAAACTGCTAACTGATGTATGTTGCTGTATTTAATAATAACAATAAGAATGAGGTATACAATTCATGGATATCCCATTTAATTTTAGCCTGAACAGCTAATGCCATTTAAACTAACATATAGGGTAACTTCAAACTAATACGCCTAGAGCAGTCTCACACGTTTTTGAAAAGCGTTTCTTATTTGCATCACAACCGCCTATAACGTATGCATTTAATTGCCCTGTACGCAGATATGCAACAATTTGTTGCAGTTACTCGTTGTGGCTAGCAGCCATTCAATTTGGCTAATGATTTTGTCATTATTTCTATACAGCTATTGTTGTTATTATTGCAGTGCAGGAAATACTCTCGCAGTTTAATTTTGCATGACATACACGAAAATACAATGCACTGCACCATTTAGATATATATATTTTATATACATACAGACATGTATATATATCTATAGTATCTAAATATGTATATGTAAATATGTACGTAGCTCCACTGTAGTAAAGATATTTACAGTTGCGAAAAAATAGCACCTCTACGACAATTTCGAACTGAACTGAAAAATAGACATTTAGTTATGCAATTGTTTCAAATGTTTATTAATATATTGATTTAGTTTTCCGTATAAATATATATATATATATATAAGACTGAAAAAACTGGATGAAAACTAGCTGTACGTCAAAAGGTTGATTCGCACGAACAAAGTGATTTCTTTCGTCTCATGAACTTAACTTATGTCTCAGGGAACTTAATTTAAAGCCTTAATCCCAAAAAATGTTTATTTTTAAAGCGCGTAAATAAGTACAGGAAGTTCACAAAGGAACATCCAAATTGGTCAGTCCAATAATTTGGGAATATTTTAAGAAAATGACTCCCGTTCGTACATTAGGTGATTTCAAAACTCAGAATAAGATACGCATTGCAAGTCATTAAAAATGGAGAGTCAAGCATAACGGCAGGGGCTTCTATGGACTATGTTCAATATATTGGATCAAAACCAAAAGAAATCAACACGATTACGTTAATATTTTGGAATTCTTTGATGTAATCCCACTCAATTTATGAGGTATCCCCAATATGGGTCTTCCAACAAGACAATAACCCTTGAGTGGCCTGCTCAAAAGCCTCAGCTCAATTCAATTGAAAATCTGTGGGTGGATGTCAATGAGGCACTTTCTGCTTCTAAGCCAACCATCAATGGGAGTTATTAGGAATTTCGCTCTTCCTCTAAAGCTATGCATTGATTTATTTGATACAGATAAAATGATTTGATTTGGTAAATTCAATAGACAATTATCTGTAAGTTTATGCATTTCTAATTTTCATAATTATAAGTGCACATTTGCAAAGTAGTGATATTGTTTTATTCACAGCTGTACATACATAATATAAGCAAAAGCCGCCCCGAGCGCTCTGAACTTGACATCTAATACGATAACGTTTTGTATGCATTTTTCTGTTTGTTCTCTTTTTTGTAGCTGCTCTTTCCGTTGAGCTTCAGCTCAATGCTGGGTAAAGTTGATGTGGAGGCCAATGTGGAGGGCGGTGGTCCATCCGGTCAGTCGGGCGCCATTCGTTGGGGCATTGCGATGAGTTTGCGCAGCTTCGTTGATCAAGAGATGATTGAGTCAATGCGTCTGGGTAAGTGCCGGGGCCCAAAATTGTCACTAATTGCTTACAGTACTTATTACCTATTTATGTATTTCTATTTATGCAGCCGGTCTGCTGACACGTGACTATCGCAGACGGGAGCGCAAGAAGTTTGGACAGGAAGGCGCACGTCGCAAGTACACGTGGAAGAAGCGCTAAACGGCGGCAAATTACAAAGCAGCATTGCATTTCCATTCAAATGTTCAATAAAGAAGCCCAAAATATCTTAAATTAAGTAATGAACTACATTTGGTCAAGAGGCTTCAGGCCCAGCAGCTGCATGCCCTGCTGCAAGGTGCGCTTGGCCGCATGGAAGAGCAGCAGACGCTGTGTTTGCTTCTGCAGGCATTTCTCCTGCTTCACGGGCAGGCGCTTCAAAGCGCGACTTGTCGCATTGCTGGAAGCAAAGAGAGCAAAGATTAGCTGTCTGATTAAACCATGACCTCCTCATGCTCACCACAAGCCAAACAGATAGTTGACCAGCACACATGCTTCCAGCTGTTCCTTGGCCTGCCAAACACATTGCTCGAAGCGCGCCAGCTCGTAGAGCAGATCGATTGCATCGCTTGGCTCCTCAGTTAAATGCTGCCAGCTGGGCTTTATCTCAGCCAGCTCGATGTGTCTAAAGTTATCCAGTAGACTGTGCAGGCGACAGTGTGTGTATTGTAGCTTGATGCCCGTATCGCCATTCACCTGCAGCGCCTGCTGCCAGCTGAACTCGTGATCACGCTGCCGACGCTGTTTCAGCACGTTGACAAGCACCGCAGACACGCCCAGAATGTCGCAGAGTTCATCATCGTTTAATGCGACATTCACTTTAGTTGCTGCAAATAGAATTCGAATTTTTAAACTAACATGTAAGAGTGATGTAGTCTAGTGATCTCGACTACGATATGCCCTAAACCAGTTATTAAACATTTTCTAGTTCTATTGCCAAATTACCCTTTAAAAACTTACGCACACCCAAATGTAAGCAGGTGTGCAAGAGTTCTAAGGCAGCGCGTTTATTTATGAAATAATTAAATAAATATGAGAATACGTTTTTGATTGAATATAGGGTCAGAGCTGCTTGGACAAAATTATTATACCCATTCTTTAAGGGTTCAGAGTATAATAAGGAATCCAAATGAGGAATTGCTTTTCGCTTACTTGAACTATTGCTGCGCTTCTCCCGCATCACATCCCGGGCCTCATTGAGCACATCGCTCAGGAAGATGGCGTTGCCTTGGCGAGTGCTCATGCCATGAATCCTTCCGAATTTCACATGCTGCAGCTTGTCCGTCAAGCGTTTGTCCAGCTTGGCAGCTGTCTGAAAGAGTGCATTGAAATGATCCGCCTGGCCATTGTCGACGACATAAAGCATGCGTGAGAATTGCAGACGCTGCTGGCGCTCCAACAGTGCCGCTATATCACGGGCCAGATACAACGTGGAGCCATCGCTCTTGATGACGGGAACCCGGCGCTGGTCCACCACAACTATCTCACGGCCATCCTGCTCCCGTTGGAGTAATCCCGCTGAGCGTAGTTGAGCAAGCACTTCTCCAATATCACGCTGCGAATACTGCGACTCCCATTCGTAACTGTCGAAAGAGACGCCAAGGCGCTCGTAGACGCCTCGCAGCTCATCTATGGTGTACTGACGATATTGCTGCCACTGGCCAGACATAGTTGCATCTGTGCCGGCTTCCAACGCACTAAACAAATCACGTGCCTGCTGGGCCAACTTGGGATCATCGGCAGCTGCTCGATTGGCCGCCACATAGGCATTGTATAAGGTTTCAATGGGAGCAGCTCGCATTTCTGCATCACTAACATTGCCCAACTGGACGCCAAGTGCCAGCAGACCAAACTGGGTTCCCCAATCGCCCAAGTAGTTGAGCCGTGTCGTCCGATAACCCAAATGCTTATGCAGATTGGCCAGCACGTTGCCGATGATGGTGGATCGCAAATGTCCGACGTGGAAGGGCTTCGCTATATTCGGCGAACTAAACTCAACAACAATGCGCTCCTCCTGGAAATCAGTGGCTCTAAAGGGGATTGGATCTGTTTGTAAGAGGTGTTGTGTAAATTTATCGGGCTGTAGATGGAATTCCACTTTGGCTGCACTGCGTCCCGTACTGTGCACCACTTGAACATGTTCCACATACGTCGAATCAAATTGTTGACTTTTCACCGATTCCAACAAATGGTTTTCCTGTTGTGCAACAGTCGCCGGCAAAATCCATTGCAGCAGTGGTCGAGCTGCAGCGGTCTGTTGCTTTTTGGCTGGCACTTCCAACGCATGGTAAATGCTCTTTACTTGTGGCAGCTGCGTCAAACGTTAAAAAACCATATATATTTATAAATCATAAGCAAATTGCGATTAATTTACTTGGTCACAAATTGCGCGCCGAATCCGGCTGGTCATGATATTTCACACAGTGTGGCAACACTGCGACAGTGTTGCGAACAGCCGAACATATGCTGGTCTCACACACGGTACGACAACTAACTGGCGAAATATATTACGAAATGTTTAAGTTTTATGTTTGATTTATTACCTGTTGCATTTATCTATCTCTCCTTACTTGACTAATAAACTAACATATATTGACATGCTCAATATTTCGAACATATTCATATGTATACACCTGCTGCTCCAATTCCGTGTGAGCACAACAAAACAGCTGATTTCAGAAGCTGGGTTGGGCTTGCTAGTAGTTTTCGCAACAATAACACGGTTTTTGTTTTGTTTTCGCTTCAGCACTTATGCACATTTAAAATAGTAAAATGCATAAGGCCTACAATGTGCAGTCAATACTTAAGCAGGGAGTACAAATTGAAGCCATTGCAGCATATGGTCGGTAGTCCTATTTCTATTTACAAAATATAAATTAGCCAAATTGTTTTTTGACTAGGTAATCATGTCATTCTGGGCACCCGGAGCGGACAGCTCATCATGTACTCGGTGGACAGTCAGACAGACGTCGATATGCGAATGTTCAACAAGAATTTCAGCAAGAAACCTATTGCCCAAATGGAGGTAGTCTCAGAGGAGAACTTGCTGTTCGTGCTGACTGACAATATGATTCATGTGTGTGATATAAGCCGGATCGAAAATAATTTCGAATTCATGCACAGCTCGGCGGAGACAAAGGGTTGCACACTGTTCACCATGGATGTGGACACACCCAAATCGACGACAGGCGAAGTGGCCACATTCATCAGAATCGCCTGTGCTATTCGGCGTCGATTAGTGTTCTTCTTTTGGAAAACGGACAAGCTCGTTTCCCTGAAGCTGTGCATCGATCTGCTTGATGTGCCACGGGCCATGTGCTGGGTTAACCAGCTCGTGTGCGTTGGCTACAAGGATGAATACGTTCTATACGATGTAAATAACACAAAGTATATAATTTGTATGGGTTTAGCTATGTTCTTAATCGTTCTTATTTCCCTATTCATAGATATCCGCCAATACACCGAAAATGCACAAGCTCATACTTACGTCCTCCACAATTAATCAAGAACCCAACATTTGCCTGATACGAAACTCCATGCTTGGCATATCTAAGGACAGCTACCTAGTGCTCATTGATCTTAGTCAGTATAAGTCTAAAGATGGTAATACTGAAGGCGGAATGAACAACAAGTCTCCTTTGACGCCGTGGCCAAGTCCGCTCTTGGGCTTAGGTATTTTGTAACGCCTTTCTTTATTGTGTTGAAGATAATAACTATTCTGGTTTACAGTTTGGGATGAGCCATTTGCTGTGGGACGCATGAAGAACACCATCGAGGTGCGTAGCTTAATTGGAAAAGATACATTGGTCCAGTCGCTGCCAGAGTTAAAGAATACCAGGTTTCTAGTTCGCTCCGAAAAGGGCACCATCTTTGCTGCCGCATCATCCGAGCTGTGGTGCATGCGGCTCGTGGATATTCGAACGCAACGAGAGGAATTGCTGCAGCACCGCAAATTTCAACTAGCAATCGAACTAACAGTGAGTTTAGTCATCTCATTGACTCAGTGGCAAAACATGTACTACAACCGTTTTTTTCTTAGGATATTTCCGATGAAGAAATCGAGGATAAGGCGCAGATTGTACGCCAGATACATATGCTGTATGCCACGGAGTTATTTACCAACAAAGAATTCTCGGCAGCCATGAAGGAGTTCGAGAGAGCCGCCATCGATCCGCTCAACGTGATCCAGCTTTTTCCCAGCTTGCTGCCGGACCCGAAGAGCAGTCTAGATGCCGCTGTTCCCATGTCCAGTGTGCCAGTGCTGAAGGATCATGATTTAGAAAATGCGTACTTGGCACTCATTGAATTTCTGGTACAAGCACGTCAACGGGAGAGGGCCAAATTGCCTGATAATAAGACCAATGATAAATCGCTGCTGGCGATCATTGACACTACACTGCTTAAGTGCTATCTGCAGACAAATGATGCACTCATTGCCCCCCTGCTGCGACTTAATCAATGCCACCTGGAGGAGTCGGAAAAAATGCTCAAGCGACATAATAAGTTAAACGAGCTGATTATTCTCTACGGTGGCAAGGGAAAGCACAAGAAAGCTCTAACGCTCCTGAAGGAGCAGGCAAACATTGAGGGATCTGTGTTGCAGGGCCGTAAACGTACCATAAGTTATCTTCAGGATCTGAGCGTTGAAAATTTGCCGCTAATCTTTGAATTTGCCGACTGGGTATTAACACAAAATCCAGATGAAGGTCTTAAAATATTCACCGATGAATTGATTGCAGTCGAGGCACTGCCACGTGCCAAGGTGCTTGACTTTTTAGTGAGTAAGCACAAGGCTTTGGTCATACCCTATCTGGAGCATATTATTGATGTGTGGGGAGACACAAATACCCTACGCCACAATGCACTACTGAAGCAGTACAGTGAGCAAGTGCAGCGTCTGCTGGAGCAGCAGAAAGATGGGTAAGTTGGAGTTAAAAGTCTAAGTTCAAACGTAACTATATTATTCTTAACAGAAATGAGACACCCAAAATGCAGGAAATGCGCGCCAAGATGTACAAGATGCTGGAGGAATCAAAATATTATTCCCCAGATCGCGTGTTAGATGATTTTCCGTCAACTCTTCTGTTAGAGGAGCGTGCTCTGATTCTAGGCCGTCTGAAAAAGCATGCAAATGTTCTGGCTCTCTACATACAAGTGATGGGCGATGTCGAGAAAGCCAAGGCCTATGCGGAGGCAAGTTATGAGGATGACAAAGAGGTGTTCAATATACTGCTCCAGACCATACTAAGGCCAGTGCAACAACCGCTCTTCGAAGGCATCACCATGCACCCTGACTTTCTGAGACCAAACAAAGAAGTTGCACTGGAGTTGCTGAATACATACACTGTGAAAATTGAACCGTCGACGATATTGGAAGTGAGTGGGACTCATCTGGTGTCGTCTTTGATCCTTCCTTTATTTGATATGTTTTTCATTTGTAGTATCTGCCCGATGATGTTCTCATGTCCGAACTGAAAAACTATTTGGAGACGGTGGTGCGCACCCAACTGGCCGAAAGACATCAACGGCAAGTTATGCGCGGACTTCTACAAGCGGAGGCAGCACGGTTGCAGGGGGCCATCGGACACGAGAAGAAAAAGAGCTTCGAAATGAACGAGCTAACGATGTGTCCGGTGTGCAAGAAGCGCTTTGCCAATGAAACCGCCTTCGTCCGCTATCCGAATGGTCGAGTGGTGCATCTGTCCTGTTACGACAGAGCCATGAAGAAGCCTCAACAATAAGCCTTTAATATTTATGTGACATAATTCCAGATATACGCAAGTCTCTTCAAGTAATCATAAAACATATTTATACATACATTTTTATGCTAAGCTTACGATAATGTAACCTTTTCTTAATCGAAAACTTAAAAAAATTGTACAGCTATAGCCAGTGAGTTAAACTTTAAGCAAAATTATAGATAATAATAAATGTTTAGTCTACTGAGAAAAAAGAATGAAGATAATTCAACCAAATTAGCTTTTTCATATAACTGCTTTTTTACGATAAAAATGTCGATATTAATTTAAAGAAACAAAAAACTATGTACTATGGTTATTACCGATAAAATATATTATTCAAAATAAAAACTACAAATGCTTTTTTTGGAAATTTGTCTTGAAAATGGTTTTCTAAATGCAAACAAAATTTATGGAATATTTTAAATTAATTTAAGCTATTGAACATTAAAGTTGATTTCGTTTCCATACAAATCTTTCTCAAATTTATAATTTTCGATTGGTTTAACAGAAAAGTAATTGATTTTCGAAGGAACAACAACAAAAACAATTAAAATAACCCAAAGCAATCCTTAGGTCAGTACTATAGTTCACAAGTAATTTAATTAATCTATAAATTTATGTTAGCTTTGTATAAGCTATCATCATATTGTAAATTCGTAAATTCCCCAACCAATCCAAACTTTGATAGATAACAAATTGTATATGTTTAGAAGATATTAATTATCGAATATTATACATATTTATTCTGCTATATTTACAAATGAGGCTGTGCACAAATTATTTATGCCTCCTCGCTGCCATCCATAAGACTGTCGCCATCCAGATCTAGAGAATCATTGCATATGGACAAATCAGAGTCGGAGGCTGCACGACTTAACGGACGAAGAGGCAGTGAAAGCGATTGCTTACTATCCTCATTATCTTCCTCAAGCAAGCTGGGCGATGCCGTACTACAGGCAGCCGTCAACGGCAGTTCGACGGAGGTCGTTGCTGCCACAGATGCCGCAGTAGCAGATCCACCCGGCATCTGAGTTTGCCTGATGAGCGCCAGGCGCTGCTGTGTCAGCTCCAAATGATGTTTGCGCCATTTGATGCGTCGATTTTGAAACCAGACCTTCACCTGTGCCTCCGTCAGCTTCAGCGTATGTGCCAAATACAAACGCTCCGGACCGACCATATACTGTTGCCTCTCAAATTCCGCCTCCAGGCATTCCAGTTGCTCCGGCGTGAAAATCGTTCTCACTCGCTTATTCTTCAGTGCGCTTTTCTTCTGGGATTCTATGTGTATAAATAGGAAGTGTGGAAAGATTATTTATTTAATCATTATTGGTATTTAATGATACATATAATTAAATATAATTATTAATTATTGAATTTTATTATTTTTTATGTTAATTTAATTTATAAAAAGATGTCACAAAACACATGTTTAAATTGTTATTTATTTTTAACCAAAATAATATGCATATATAAAACATTGAGAATTATTTTTTTTATATATTTCATCCAAATTATAAAAACGGATCACTAAACTCAAACAAATTTATTTCAGACAAGCACAAAACAATTTATTTCATTTATTAACTTTTTATTAGTTTATTTATTTCGGACAATTTATATTCCACAAATCTTAATAATAATAAATACAGAAATAATTTTAAAATTGCAGTTAAAATATTTTAAAAAGACTTGGGAAAGAAAAAAAATCGTAGCAATTAAAAGATGACCAAGATTTAGGATAGGAGAGGAGGAAAGAACTGATTTCTTGTTGAGTCCGACTTACCAGACTTGAGTTTGTCGCGATGGAAACTGAGCGATGCCTGCTGTGCGTGATGCTGGTGCAGCTGCTGCAGGCTCTGCAACGCGGATGGGGCACCGCTAACCGCAGCGGCGACAACAGCAGCAGCAGCAAAATTCGCACGCTGCTGCGAATGGGAATGCGGATGTGGATGCGGATGCGGATGCGAATGTTGCACTGTGGGCAGATAACGACTGTTGCTGCTATCACAATTGAAGGTATTTACACTTTGGCTGTTGTTGTGGCCAGTGTCATAGTTGTTGCTGCTGTTGTTGTTGCTGCTGCTGCTGCTGGTATTGTTATTGTTATTGTAGCACTTGCTGTTGTTGTTGTCCTGGTCAACGATGTCTGCAGCAGCACCTCCACCTCCGCCCGAGTTGCCACCATTGAGCGACAAATTAATGGCATTATTATACTCCTTGCTATGCTGCTGTTGTTGTTGTTGTTGCTGCTGTTGCTGATGTTGCTGTTGCAGACCCAAAATGGCGGCTATTGTAAACGACTTGCCCACATCGAGGGAGGTATGCGCCGCGGCTGCCTCAATGAGCTGCGCGTGCGACGTCGCAGTCGCCAGCTGCTCCCTGTGCGGGTTGGTGGGTGGTGGTGGGAGGCCAATTGGAAGCTGCTGTGACTGCTGCTGTTGCTGCTGCTGTTGTTGTTGTTGTTGTTGTTGCTGTTGATGCGACTGCAGCCCCATTTGGTATGAACTTTGACCCGCCGCCGTCACTGCAGCCGCCGCCGCTGCAGCAGCCAGCGCCGCCGTCGGCAGTGTATGATGTGGTTGCAACTGTCCATGTCCGTGTCCGAGTCCGTGTCCGTGTCCTTGCCCGTGTGTGTGTGCCACACTGTTGGCGTGTTGCGTGTTATGCAATGCCAGAAAGTGTGACAAGGGATTTGCGTGATATTTGGAAGGATTCTGCAACATGCTTAGTATTTAGCGCAAGTCCGCAAGACGGCAACACAATTCCAAAGTTGCGAGTTGTCGTCACCTCCGTCTGTCTCACTTGTCGGTTAACTGGAAAATGCAAGAGTAATGTTTAGTGTTAAACTGTCTCACTGCCTTGGTCATCCGCATGCACTTAAAAAATAATTATATACATAACTGAAAAAATTATTTTTATTAACTTACAAACACCCTCAAAACAAGTGTAGTTACAAATTGTACATTATGTAAAAAATTTAAAAAAGAGCTTACTTTAGGAAAATAATTTCGATAAACTGTAGAAAAAATATTTTATTATTAATTTTTAAAAATTAATAAAATAATATTAATTAAATTGTTTAATGCAAATGCACTCAAAAAGTGTACATAATGGACAAAACAAAAAGAGCTTGATTTTTAAGAGAATAATTTCGATAATCTGGAGAATAAAAACATTACATTTTCTAAAATAAAATACAATTACAGACACGCTTTTGAAATAATTGTGTAATTCCAATAAAATATATACTCAATTTATTTATGTATCATATTTATGGAATATATAAACACCATACATCCTAATAAAAAAAAAATATTATGAAAGCAAACTTAAATTCTTATGGAAAACTTAATACAGAACAAACACAAATTTCATTAAAGATGAAAAAGGTGTAATTGACTAGTAGCGCTATACAACTTTCGATATGAGAAATTATTATAAATATCAAAAAATAATATCATAAGTATTATATAGTTATTCGCGATAGAATACATTTTTTTGTTGTATATTTTGTGTTGTTTAATGCTTAATATAACATAATTGAAGGAAATAATTTGACGAAAATTTGGCTCTGTTCAATATTTAATTATTTCCTTTATCGAATTTTGATTCATAACCAAAGAAGCTTAGTTTTCCCTCAGTGTAATGTTGAGGTGTCAACGACTGCAATTGCAAGTACAATTGCCATTGTCATTGTCTTTGGCTCTGATTATGGCCACAATTAAGTGGCACTTAAACAGCCACAGAGGCAGCGGCAGCGCGTGTAATCTGAGCTCCTTGAAGCGATGCAGCGTGAAGTGAAAATGTTGGGGTCATCTAAATGCGTAGCATTTAACGAGCCGAGAATCTCTATATATGTATGTATGTATGTATGTGTGTATGGTTTCTGGTGTGGCTTGGCCAAACAATTGACCCAACATGGAATATGGTAGGAAACAACAGGTTGAGACAGGCAAATAGAACAACTACGAAACGACCACAGACTGGCCAACACACACACACACACACACACATTTCTCTCTCTCTCTCTCACACACGCACAGTGCGTTGGCAGAGTGAGTGCATTCATTGCACTTAATTGCAATGCTTTTCCTTGCCTCTCTTTCACGCTCTACCCGTCGCACTCTCGCTCTCTCTCACTCTCTCTCAGTATGCCTGTCTCGCTCTGTTGGCCACTCGCTGGCAATTTGATAGCCTAATTGAGACTTGTCACAGCTTGCTGCTTAATTGTTGCTCTTGCTGATTTTGCTGCCGTTGCTGATGTTGCTGTTGTTTCTGATGTTACCCAGGTGCGTAAGATATCCATTTGCTGGCCACACAATGCAGATGTGCAAACATACTTAGCCCTTTGTAATTGGCTTACTGCGTGCAAATGTGAAGGTAAATGCTTAAGCATATTTACATAGATTGCCAGCAATTGTGTGGACCACAAATCAAATAAATTAGGTTCATTAAAGGATAATAGAAATAACTGCTGGTCGTCTTATAGCAAGCATCCAAAAGAGGTATTCATCGTTTTTAGTGAAAGCTTAAAATTGCAAACTAAACTGACAAAAGGAAACATTGCAGCTCTACATAATTAAGTTACAACGTTAACAACTTTATCGAATTGCTGCAATATGTTTGTGATTAAATGCTATACAGAGTGCCTTTTACCCCCACATGAATTGACTTCAATCTGTGATTTTATCAAATGACATAACTCAAAATTCGAATTGGAATATGACAATAATTTAATTTAAGGGATTAGATTTCCGTTAAGGGAATTCAAACAGTTTTTACTACACAACACAAATCAATCTTGACATAAGATAGCAATCAAAAAATGTAAAGAAAAAAAAAACATTTTCTTTATCTTAGAGATATGTTTACCTCATAACAACCTCTTTGAGTGAATATCCAAAGTATGTTATGTATATTAATTAAGTGTAATAATAGAATCAATCAACTAAAGGTTTATTTGAAAAGAAGATTAATCTCAACTTTGCTATCAAACTGAAATTGATTTTATATGCTTACTCTCTCTCTCTCTCTCTCTCTGAATTTTTAATGTACTCTCCCTCTTTCTCTCTTACTGTATCTCGCTCTTAAATAAATAAATAAAAAGAAATTGGGTCGGTGCAAGAGTACCTCGCTTGCCTGCCCACCTAACTATTTCAATTCCAGTCACCAACAATTTAAAGAAATTTAAACTTTTGAAATGTTTCGTGTACATACCCCCAATATTGTCATGTCAGTCAGTCCGCTGGTGAGTCTATCTGCCCATTTCTATGGAAACTACTCTTGGATAAGAGCCTGTTTGTTTATAAAGGTATCACCACCAAATTCAAATGCAATACATAATTTCATACTAGTAAGATTTTGGCAGAAAATAAAATACCTTAAACTACCATATAATATTCAAAACACCCCACCGATTTAATTAATAATTTAAATGTGTTTTGTTAGTTCTCGTGTTTACATTTAATACATAAACAAAATAAGGTATTCAAGTTCTATCTAATAATGAACTTTAAAAACACTTAAGTCTAGACGCCTACAACAGGAGTCACTTCGTAACCGTTCACATACATAGACATATTGATATGTATAAGGATACAGATACATACTCGTACATAAATATATCTATACAAATCTATAAATTTGATTGAAGAAGAGTTTAAGAGCAAATAGAAAAATGCATTTCCGTCGGAAAATCGGACGAATATACTTATAAATAAAAAAATATTAGTTAAATATTGCAATCAAAACTTTAAATAATTTCTTAATTAATTTATTTAAAAGATTCATATATTGTTAAGCTTTTGCGACAATAAGAATAATCTTTCCTTGAAGCGTAAATTTTTACTATAAAAAAATAATGCTTTTGGAATAAAATATAATATTTTATCTTATAAAAATCTATATAATTGATAGAAACTTTAATCAATTCCCTGATCAGTATTAACATTAACATAACTTTTAACAAAAAAAAATCATTATTTATGTTAAAAAGCGTTTTAACAATATTAAAAAAGCGTTTTAACAATATTAAATCAGATATATTGTTGAAAGTTATCAAAATGAATTTTATTTCAGTTTATACTCATATTATGGGAAAAATACAAATAAGCAATGTATTAATATTAATTGTAATTAATTGTTGCACTCTGCGTCTTTTGTGACAAATAGCAGACAAACCTTTATAATCCTAAATTATAACTCCAAAAATGTATATATCGATATTTGAGTGCTTGTGTGTTATCCAAAATGGGGTACCGCAATTTCTTTCCCTTGATAGTTTACAGTTTAGTTGCAATATGCATTTTGATTGCATTGAAAATGCATACACTTTTCCACTTAACCACAACTGAAACTTGCCGACGGCGAAAAATAATGCTGCCTACAATTGCGCGCGTTTCGCCAATGGCAGTTGAAGTCGGGCTAATTGGCTTAACGGCTTATCGAAAAACTGAGCTTCGCTTTTGGCCGCATGCGAACGTGAACGTGTTGCAAAGTCAACTGAACTCAAAAGTTTCTGGCCGTACAATTTTTACAATATCTGCAACAGCAAACGTTGACGTCGACGCTGACGTCGACGACAGCAGCGCAGCTTTCCTCTGCCTCTGTGTGTGTCTGTGTGTGTGTGTGTGAGTGAGTAGTCGTGATTTTTCTCATACTCGTGTGGGATGCGGTTCTCATCCTGGTTGTTAGTGTTCTTTTTCCCGCCGGGATTTACACAGCAGAGACAGAGGCAATAGCAGCAGCGGCAGCGACAGCGGCAGCATCTGTGTAACATCATCATCATTCAGGCTGTCAGGAGCAACCACCAGCAGTTACATAAAAACGCAACCACCCGCCGAACCACCCATAACCCACCCACCTATCGCAGCGAGCACCCTTCCACTCTGCCGCTCTGCCCTCCGCTCATTTATGCCGCCAACGCGAGTGTATGAAAAGTTATTGAAATTATTAAATAAATGGATAATTGGCTGGGTGAGTGGGTGGGGATTGCGTGGTGGGCGGCGCCAGGAGTGCCAACGGCAAAAACAATATGGCGTCCTGATATTAATAATATTTTGCGATAAACGAGTGCAGCGAACGCAAAGATAAACGGCATTGTCCCTCATAATTAATTAAGCAATAAGCGTACAAAATTACTGTACAAGAGTACATACACACACATACACACACACACACACATACGCATACATTCTTAGCTACAAGCTCTTATGTTTGGAATGCTAAGTTCTCCAGGCTCCAGGATCTGGAGCTAATTTAATAACACAATTTTGATTGAAGTGCATAAATGCCAATAACAATTTTTAAGTAGATTTTGTTGCATCCTCTTTTAGGGCTGCATAATGGCATAATAGGATTTTCTTTTATTTAGGAGAACAGCTCGTCCTTATTATATTTTTAAAAAAATCTTTTAAGGCGATTTGCATTACTTTGTACGTACTAAATTGTCACACCTCAAAATGAATTGTTGAAACTTTGTATTCATTCATTTCTCTACTGTAAAAATTCAAAATTTCCCAAATAATGTTGAAAATAGTTGCAGCGAATACTGTTGCGTTCAGTTTTTTTTTTTAAATAATTAATTCCCTAATTATGTTGCGCTTACTTTTTTTTAAATAAATATGTCCCTGATAATGCTGTAAATAGTAACAACTAATAATGTTGTAATTAGTTTTTTTTTTAAATATTAACTAATAAATAATTTTATGAAAATATTCACAACTAACAATTTTGTGCCTTTAAGTTTATCGATTGAGTTGCAAAAGTTTGACTATTGAATGTTAGCTTGATTGGAAAATTATTTATTGAATACAATTATTTATTATTTGAAAAGGCTGGATGATTCGAACTGGATGCTTGAAGTTTTAGAGCACATGGCTGGATAGAAACACCACTAAAATTTGTATTTTAAATCTAAAATACGTCAATTAGGTTATTTTTATGTATTTTTCGCGTTAAATCGAATCTGTGTTTTCTGGACGCTGTTTGGGTGAGTTAGAGTCAGAAAACAGACTTAACGGATGTCCTATTCAATTGGCGAAGACTGTATGTTTATCTATAGATATTAGTTCGCTTCAAATGTAACTTTAAAATTCGTCAGTTGTTTTTGATTTTAAAGAAATACCAAATAAGGTTCAATTAAGTCGCTCCCAGCATGCTTTGTTCGATTTAAATGAAGGCTTCTTACTGATTTTTAAGGCAATGCTTTAAATATACCACTTGATAAACTACAGAAAATACCAACGATCATTAAGGCCACAGAAACCCCAATTAGCGTCCACTAAAGTGAATCAATGCAAAGAGGGCAACGCCACGAAGCAAAACAAAAAGGATTCCAAGTGACTGGTCGTGGAGCATGCGTTTGCCCCATCTTGTTGCACGATGGGCTTTAAATCCGCCACGAGATACAAATTTTAAATCAAAGCCAGGAATTTGCTGAGCAGAAAGAGGCGCTCCTCTCTTTCTCTCTCATTCTCTCGCTCTCTTTCTCTCACTTGGCTCTCTCTCTCTCTGTGCCACACAGTGGTGCTCGAAGTGAGGCTCAGACTGAGGCGACACGTTTGTCGTTTCAATCATCATTAGTGCTAATGTACCCACAAGAATTGGGCAGCCACTTTTGGCCTGGTGTGGGCGAATGGCTTGCTCTGCAGCAAGAGCTGGAGATGGAAACGGAAATGGAGAGAGCGCAAATTCGGCAGGCAACGGAGAGAGCGCGAGAATATACATACGGAGAGTGCATACATAAGCCGAAGAGCAAAATAAGTATATACACACCCACACACACACACACACGCGCGCAAGCAGTCAATGAGCGTGTGTGCGTGTTTGGTAAATGGCAAACGAATTTTTTGTATTACTTGTATTATCCCCGAAATTTTGTTTATTTACCACAATTTTAATATTTTTTAACATTGCCTTGCATCCAGCGCGCTTAAGGGTAAAAAATGCCACACGTTACAAGTGGCTCATGTATGTGTAGATGTGTGTGTGTGTGTGTGTGTGAGTAAACTGCAACTGCGCATGTGCCCGTGTATCTGTTTGATGCGAGCTTGGAATGAGGAAGCGTCGCAGCCTCAGTCGCAGCCTCTGTCGCCGCCATTGCTGCGTGGCCTTTTTGATAAACTTCGCCGTTTCCGGAGGCTGCTCATCATAATAATGATACTGATAATAATGATGCTCTTTATGCTTGTTGTTGTTCCGTTGCCATGACCATAATATTTATTTATTTTCAAATAAAAATATATAATATAAAAGACGCAATGAGACGCAACCAAACCAACTTCCGCAGAGGCAAAAAGTTTTTTCATTATGAATTATTACGCAAAATGCGGGGGAACAGAGCAGGGGCGAAAACGAAGTAAAGTGAAATGAATAGCAAAGTGAAGGCAAATTAAATTTGCCGTTATAGTTCCCAGGACTGCATTGCGGGTTTCATTAGGAGTCGCATAAAAAGTGTTGCCTACTTAATTGGGCGGATTTTGCTTAGCAAAATACGTTTTTCTAAAATGTGAAAAATCTCACTAACGTTTTGATATACAAGCAAAATAAAAGCTGTTAATAATAAAAGTAAGCTAATTAAATAATCAATTTGTATGCTGAAAGTAAATGTTTTTATACGTTTAACAACTGAAATACTGGATTTTATAGCATGTATATTTTCTTTATTTAAGACAACATTTTTAAAATTATCATAATTCCTTTTCTTATAATTTACTCTGTGATTGTAAATATTGCTGATAGTTTATTAGCTACATGAATAACCTAATTTAAAAGACTTCCAGCAATTTCATTTTATTTAACCAATTTATTGGCTTGTAGTAAATTGTTTTGACAGTCTTATGGTATATATATTTTCCATTTGTACGGCCAAATTTCAAATAATAAAAATTCCCTAAAAGGAAGCTTAATTGTAAATATTTTCATATGTACACCTTACGTATTAAATGGTTGTGTGCTTTATCTAACCGTTTACGAATATTTTCGTCTTGAGCTTCAAAGAAGGCGCCGCATTTTATGAAAATATATATATATTTTTATTATTATTGAGCTACACTACGTTACTGCATGCCACAACAAGCACACACACACACTCACACACACGACCTAACAGACACGAAGACACATAAGCACACAATATAAAACCAGTTTTCTTCTTCCTCTCAGTTGTGCTCTCTTACTCTTGCTTTTGACAGCATTTAATTTTATTAGCCAGGCAGCATGCTAGAGCAAGACAGCAACAATCATTTGCTAGCTGAACATCATAATGAGCTTGCCAACAACCACCATACACCACCCATCCGCAACCACCCACCCAGCGCCCTCAGAGCGCCGACAACAAAATGGACTCAAAAATTTGAGCGCAGCAAAACATTTGCGGCATGTTTTTAATAATGTTGTTTATAATGTCGATTTTTTTTTCTTTGCTCTTTTTTCGTGCTGTTGTTGTTTTTTCTGCCTTTGGATGAATTTGTATAGAATGCCTTTTATGGCTTTTGGGGCAGTGGCTCGAAACAAATGCCGTTAAATCTGTTTTATTTCGGTCATTTTCCCTTTCCAATTACTGACAGCATTTTATGGCTGTAAAAGCCTTTTGTGTTTTATGCGCGCATTTTTCAATAAATGCCGAGTCCCAAAAATTAATTAGAATATCATCTGGGCACTCAAAAATCCAAAACCCATAATGAGCGCAATTTACAAAATTTCTCGATTCGGTCAATTCGAGTCAGGCCAAAACAAAACACACACAAAGCAGGTACTAGGCGGCCATTTTAGTTTTTAATTAAATCGTGTTTTGGCCAATGCAACATCGGTTATTATTGTTGCTTTTGTTGTTGTTGTTGTTGCTAGTGGTTGTAGCCACTCTAATTTGTAACTGTGGCCATTGTCGAAATGAGTTTTTGGTGCCTTGGCTACTTTAAAATGTTGCGGACGCATACACAAATTAATTTTCGCCAAATATCCAAATTGCAAATGTTGTTTTGCTGTTGTAATTGCAAAATTTATTTGGCTTCTGCCAACTAATAACTGTATTTTTAATTGCATATTGCGCGGCATATTTAATTAAAATTGTGTAGTGCTTTTTGTGTCTAGCTTCAGTTTGTGTTGCAAATGTTTGATTAAATATTAATATTAGAAAGATGAGTAGACAGCAAATAAAAACCACTATAAACATTCACAATTGCAATAGAAGCCATACTAATGCAACAAAATACAGAAATAAACTATCATTAGAATAATATGCTATTTTTAATGAGTCTGTTCTGGCCCTCTCTCTTGGAAATTGTTAGCACTATTAACAATTATCATATTTCTTTTCTAATTGAGAGTATTGTTATTTGTCGTTATAAAGTTATATATACATATATATATATACGTTTTTTTTAACTTTTCAATGTTGGTTTTTTGACTTGCTGAGTGCCTGCTTGCGTGCCACTTTTTTCGGATTGTCATCGTCTGGTTGCTTATCCGCCTCGGATGCCTCCGATTTCAGCTCCTTCAAGTGTGCATCGACGCCCAATTCGCAGTCGCCCCACGGTGGTAGCAATAGGCTAGTCGGACGCACAGGCTTGGCGATGGGCTGAATAATCGTTTGGTCTAGATACATCGGTCCGTCCTGAAATTCGTTGATTTTCTCCACATTTGAAATTCGTAAATCCTCTTCATCTATCAAGCGTTTATTTTTCAGATCGGCAAAGCAACGCAACTCGGCGAGTTTATCTCTGGCCAGAGTGTATACCACATCCAAAAGCATACCCTTTGCATCTTCATCGACCTGGGCCTTATGGCTTCGCAGCACACTGTTTACAAAGTTAATATCAGCTTTCTTTCCTAAATTATTCTCTGTTAATTTGTTTCTGCCGTTCATTCTGAGTAACTCCGACAGGCAATCGTTGAAAGTTGCCTAACGTGACTTAGCAGTTTATTGCTGCATGAGGGGTAAGGAGGCTTCCGATATAATGGAGAACAATCGATAGGCAACTATCAAGGAAGACCGTTCTACTGAATGTTACCATTTTAGCAACTTAAGGCACTTTAGCCTTTTGTTTGACAGATCTGTCCAGTTTTAATTGGAGTTTACTGAAGAGTTGGCTATAAAACAGAAGATCGTTTCAATTTTTTATTTTTTCAAATTATTATATGTTTGCATTGTAATATAAAACCATTTTAGATTTATGTTTTTTGTATATACATACATACATATGTGTATAAAAATTGGTTAAAGGATATTTTGAAGTTGTTCATATTTTTGTAACAGACAAGAGGAAGCATCTCCTAAGGTATATGGCTTTTCCATTTTCCGTAATAAAAGTAATATGTTCCTAATTTTGAGACAACAACCCTTTCGGAAATTCTAAAGTATTTATTTTAAAAAATGTAATTCAACTTTGAATGAGAAATGTAGGTTTTCGAAGTGAAGTGTGTTAATGTTAAGAAAAATAAAAATCTATAAATAGTAAAGCATGCCTTCTTTCGTAGACTTTGAGATTATCATTTGAGATGCCATTTACATAAATGAGCATTCGTTTACCTTTACAACTTCACAACTTACAGGCGTCTGCCTAATGGCATGGGCCCTTTGAGCCACAGATGAGCACAGACAAACCGAAAGGACCATTTCGGGAATGGATGCGGCTTATTGTCGGCTCGACAAAAAAAAAAACACCCTCGTAATCGCGAAGCGTTTGCATCGCTTCTGTTCGTTCATAAAGCGTTGGAAATTATGGAAATTAATTGAAATTCCAAGCATGCCGTTTGCTCTTTTGGCCAAACCAACAAATTACCATCATTATGCCTGTGCGGTGACGACAGCCACCCACCCAAATACCGCCCACCGCCCCACCCCAACCCAATTGAGGCAAATGAGGCTCTTTGAGTTTGTCTAATTTTAGGAGCTGCGGTTTTCCCTACTCTCTGCATGTGTACGGTGCGCATGTGTGTGATGCACATACATCAGTGTATGTGTACGTGTGTGTGTGTGAGTGTGAATTGATGTCTATAAACTGCATTATAATGCCCGTTTAATTAAGCTTATTAACTATTTGAGACAAGGAATAAAAAATCAGGCGTAGGATTCATTTATGCGTGGAAGTAAACTGATTTACTTCCGGCTCACTTTACTTGATGCAAATACGTATTTGAAGTAAACATATTTTTGAGCTAACAGCCAAAAACAAAACAACAACAACAACAAGCTAAGCGTCATCATCATCAGTAAAAAGTCATATTAAAAATCATTCGCTTGTGAAGATCAAAAGCATTCTTTTTCATATAGAAATGCCATGAAGAATGATGCCGGTGGGCCCCGAGGGTTGCAACGGACGGGCGACGAGGGTTGGCGAAGTTAGCTGGCCGACCCATCCATCCATCCGCCAGTTCGCCTTGCTTAAGCATTCAACCAAAAAGGGCATAGCACACACATACACAAACACACATACACGCATACATATATACAGAAAGTCTGCCTACCTATACAACGGAGATGCCAACACGTTTTAATCTTTTTATGCGCTTATATCTCGCTGCTGCTCTCGTCAGTGTATGTACATATATCTATATATGTATATATAGATGTGTGTGTGAGTGTATTTATTTATGGTATTTCGCATTCAACCACCAAAACAAAAAACATTGTATGCTGTATATGTATGTGCTATGTGCACATTTATTAAATATTATTGGTCTTATTTTGTGCTACACTCTTGGCATTTTTTATTGCCCCGAGACAAAGTTGGTATTGTTGTGGTTTGCTGGTGTATATAAGTGGTAGTTACTCGTTATTGTTATTTTTATAGTTGTTGTTGCTGTTGTTGCTGTGAGGTTGGTTCCGCCCACACATTGGTTCCGTTTATTAATTTAAATGTCACGGTCCTGAATAACGCTTAATCAATAAGTCAAATGCGTCGGCATTTTATTTGCAGAACAACATTCATAATACTTCAATACGTAAGCATGCAAAATTTGTCTTTATATGCGATTACATCTCCTCTCCTATGATTTTCTACTAAAGAAATATCTACTAGATAATATATTGTATATCCGTACTGACCACAACAGTTTTGTGTATCAAAATGCATATTAAGTAGCAATTTATTGAATGTTTACCACTTTAATTATAGCTTAGAGATAGCAATAACTATTAGAACGGCTTAAGAGACTCAAAAACTAAGAATATACAGTTAACAAAAATCCTTTAAAAAAATATAGATAGATTTCCACATAGGCGTATTTTGCCAACAATTCCAGCTAACTCTAATTAAGAGCCTGCCGAAAAAAGACTATGTCTAAAATGGCAACACTCAATAGAACTGCATTTCTTCAAAAGTTACCTATCGATTGCCTTGCAATATATCGTTGGGCAACTTTTGAGAAACAGTTTCCTGTCAGAGTTACTCAGTATGGACGACGAAGAAAATTCAACTGAAAATAATTTAGATCTGAAAAATGATCTGATCTTTGTGGACAATGTGCTGCGAAGCCTTAAAGTCCAAGCCGATGCAGATGCACATGTTCTGCTTCTAAAGGAAGCATACGCCCTGGCCATAGATAAGCTCGTCAAGGCACGTCGCTTTGCCGATGTGAAGAACAAATCATTGATAGATGTAGAGGATTTGCGTGTAGCCGATGTGGAAAAAGTGAAAATGCTGCCAACGGGTGGCGAGTCCGACTTGGAATACAATGCACACCTGAAGCAACTGTTATCCAAGATGTCGAAGAATAATGAGACGAAAATAAACGATTGTGAAAGCCCTTAAAATCAATGGTTAACAACATTTAAAAATTAATAACTAAGATATATGATTAAAGATCTGAAGAAAAAATACATTTTTTTCGAAATACTTTGATACTAATAACTAATATCATTGTAAATACCGATGTTTTATTTTATTTATTTTAGTTCTTAAATTGCAGGAAATATAGGCGTTTCTCATTGTTTTGGGCCAGTAATGGGCGTGGCCACACAATTGTTTCATCGATACTTAAGGCTTATCGTAATATAGCTTCCAAATTTAATGGCTTTCGATCAAAAGCTGTGAAACATTACATTTAGAGACGGGGGCTGGGAAGCGACGATGGTGGGCATGGCATATCTTTTAAGGACATCGCAAACAACCTACAAACCAAATTTGGTGACTACAGCTTTAAAATTGTGGGAGATATGTGGCTTTATCGATTTGCAATTATCGCTGTGATCGATTTCCTAGCCTCCTAATAGACGTAGCACTCTAATTACAATTTACGCTTTGCCCGACGCGGGCAAAGACCAGTAAATGCTCCAGGTTTCAAAGCTCTAGTCGAAAAAGTTGCGTTTATAGAAGAGACCAGACAGACGAACGGACAGATGTGTCCATGTCGGACAGTGCACAAAACCAATACACTCTGGATCTGACCTGAATCTAGAATAATCTACCATACACCAAAAAGTCTTGTTTTAATTGGAAAAATTAATATTTTTTTATATTTTAACTCAATTATGGGTGGAAAACAAATAATTAGATTTCTTAAACTCAACAATAAGTGTTGCAAGTGTTCCAGGCATAATTTTATGGTTCGTGAGCATCATAAATCAGCTGTTGACGATTTGCATTGTCCGTTGTGGCTGCTTATCACGCTTAATTAGCTGCGCCCAGGAGCTGCACCTGCACAATCGCATTTTCCACTGCCGAGAGTGAATAGAGGACTTCCGGGTTCGTTTACGGTCTAATCGCATTTGGTACTGTCAAAACTTGTAGCACAAATAAACCACCCTTCCGTTTAGGTTTTGGGCTAAGGCTAAGCCATCATTGTCAAGTGGCACAAATTGCAGATCAAACATGCAGTCATAGTTGCAGTTGGGTTTTGCTGGGAGTTGGACAGACGACCATTTATCAGGGCCGTTGACAATATTACGCTCAAATTAAATAGCGTAATAAAAGGGTGACTTAATTTGTTTTTGCCCGGGCAGACGACGCCACTCACGATTACGAGAGATGAGCTGTGAACACGTGCTTGCTTTCTAATAAAATATTTCGGCATTACATCGGCAACGTATAAACAACAACAGAACGAAATGAATAATTTGCCCATCTTTTTATGCACCGTCCTTGTTATTGAATTTTTTTTATATGTTGTCAACCCCTCGACAATATGCGGCGGCTGTAAAACGGCAATTACGCGTGTCTAATAACGGAGTCCCTGGTTCCTGGCCAGTTCTTGCCAAGATTTAAGTAGCCGATAATGCCTTCTGGATTGACGCGTGACGCAATTTGTTTGTCTTTTATTAACAATTGCAGCAAAGTTACTTTATATCAGCATTCGCTGACAATGTTTATCGTAACTGGGACACTCCCTCACTGCCAAATGGCTTGTAGCTTATGGTTTGTAGAATACATATTTAGATGGCTTGGGATTCAGATCGTTTAGTCCTCGACAATTTATTGAATGATACATCCTATTCAATCCCTTGAGGAGATTATTAGTAATCTACATCAAAAGTTCGGTAATTCTAGCACTACAAGTCGGTGAAATATGGATTTTTCATCTGCCATCCATCTTTATATAATATGGTTTTCAATTGTTTTATTCTACGATCATAATGGCAATAAAAAAAAACCATCAAATTTTTGTTATAATAAGTGAATAACAAACTATTAATTTAATGAATAATTTGAAAAACTCTAAAAGGAAAAGTTTTAAGACCATAAGAATATTTCTCATTACTAAGATTACATAAAATATATTTGTATACGAAACTGAGCTGCAACAGGAAAGATTTAATTATTATGCCTACATAGATATTACTAAGATGACAGACCGAAAATACGTATATTAAGTCGATCGTTTCTCACAGTACATGAAACTAACTGTAATTCGTGTATAAAAAGCATACTTAGATCTGAGAACTCCCAACTTGGGAATGTGTGTATTTGCCAGTAAAATGCTAATGACTGCAAATCAAAACAGAATTGATGGGAAAATCAAGTGAGTGAAATCTGAAGCGGAAAAGCATGCACTAAACGGTCCACTAATAAGTTAATCAAACTAATTGGATCGCCTGTCTGAAAATAGTACTCGCAGCAAAAATGTCGCAACAACAAAAACTATAACACCAAAAGCACGCAACCAACCAACAGAATGTCATTTGCCAGTTAGCAGCTATAAATTCCGCAAATACAGCCCCCACCACTCCGACGGAAGGTCTAAGTATGTTGTTAACAATGAAAAGGGTTGCTGCTGTTGTTATTTGGTCTACGTTGGAATTTATGAGCAACTTTTGTGACAGGGAACATGTTAATTGCCCCGCCTGGTTGGTTGCCAGGCTTAGAGTTGTTTTACAATGTTCTTAAAAATTGGCGCTCGTTTTGTTTCGTTTGCTTTTTAATTAAAAGTCGCAGTGCATCAAAGAGTAGAGGGGCATTAACGGGGGTAGAGGTGGAGGGGGTCTGGCTATGGTTATGACCATTGGTCAGTGTGCAGACTCACCACAAAAACATAAGGCAAACTGAGCAGCCGAGCAACGTTTTAAGCTGTCTAAATTGGATAAAGTGCTTGCGCTTTGGCTGCTGACTTGGCAACTCTTGTCCGTGCAACACAGTGAGTGAGGCATCCACACAGCAGCCTGAACGGATTTACCATAAGGACCTTGTTTATTAGTCAAGTTTTAAGCACACACATTGTAACCAGATTGAACTTAAGCTCGTTGAAAATGCAACGAGTTAGCAAACAAGCATAATAATGCAAACAATATTCACATGTCCGTCTGAGTATTATATCATTGAATTTAATTTATTTATATTTAAGTACACATTTCACTTTTCAATTTTTTTAAAACCTACAATTACTTTGTTCAAACTTAACGCTTTTGTTAATTTTCTGTAGTATAATGCAATTAATTAAGTTTTATTTAATAAAATGAATACTGAATAAAATTAATTTGATTTAAAATCAATAAAAACTAATTCATATCATTGTTCTACAAAAAAAAATACAAAAACATATTAGGTGTTTGATTTTTAATATGTTTCTTAAACGAAAATCCCTAAATTTTCTTCTTCTTAATTAAATGAAAACTCAAATTTGTTTTTTTTTTACCCCAGATACACAAATAATCGCATTATTTTCAATATCGATCCTGCACTTGCAACTAACAAAGTGATCTATGATTAAACTGTAAATGAACATCAGTTTAATCCTGAATATTTTCTTATACTTATTAAGCTAATATTTTGAAAAACAATAATGATCAATATTAAAATGCGATAGAAACATTTCAAATGTTGATACAGATCAAACAACAAATTATTTTCAAGTGCTGCTAAAAACGAATATATGAGAGAAAAAAATATCTCCACTGACGCATTCATATCTTTAAGATATTAGACTTTGATCCCGATATTTAGAATACGTCTCAAATAAAATCAAAATTATAAATAAAATGTTGCGAAAAGTGCACGAAAAAATTATATTGTCCAAATTGGGATTCGAATTATCAAAAATGCCTTCTTATTAAGCAATTTTACATTTCAGCTTTCAGCTTAGCGTTCAAGTAGTTCTTTGATCATAAATCAGACAATGATATATACATTACATTTATACATTATATTATATTTTATTTGATATTATGTAAGTAATTTAACTCGTTCCTATGTACTTTTGGTACTAAAATGCTAAGACTAATTTTAAAACTTATTTTTTGGGAATAATCAAGCTATCGCCATAGTACGCTGTTATCGCAACCAGACGAACATTCAAATAGTTGTACTCCATCTCGCATTGCTGGCCCGGGTGGGTGAGTGCAATCACCTGCTTAAGGTTCGAGTTGCGGGGCAGAAAGAATCCAATGTTGTTCGTAAGACGTCGCGCATATTGAATCAACTGTTTGGCGCCCAGCGGCAACAGACACTGCTCAATATCAAAATTGGCTTGCTTCAGATAATCCGGCCCACCCCACGGCGGACTAAGGAAAACTACGTCTGGTCGCAAGCTGGTGCTGCTGGCAAACTGCAGGAAATCCGCCTGTATAAAGTCAATCTTGTGCGCCACCCCATAAATGCCAGCATTATGCTTTGCCATCGCCAATTTACCGGCATCTATGTCAATGGCGATTACCCGGCCGCAAGTCTTGGCAAATTGTATGGCGTTGCCGCCGCATCCGCAGAAGGCATCCACGATGACATCGCAGGCCAGTCGACGGGCCGTTTGCCTCGCAACTTTTTCTGGTGTCACAGAGTACCAACTTTCTGGATCCAATTGTATGCCCTGATCAAAGCGGGAAAACAGTGAAAAGCGCTTTAACCAATACTTTAACAACGGTTTCTCATTGTCTCTCATAAAATGTGGTATTCTCGATTTGTTGTTCTTCTTCTTGTCTTTAGTTTTCTTGATGGTCCGCGTTTGCACAGCGTGCAGAATCTCGTTGTTATCGTTGTCCATATTAAGTGAATTGGCGTCGCATTCACTTTCCGATTCGTTGGCAGGTTGCCGCTTTGATTTATGCTTAATCCTCTCAGTTTGTACACCAAATGACGTAGGCAGGCCAAGCAATCTTAGCTGCTGCTGCTCATCGTCGAGCGACTCTGAATCGCTGCTCTCGCTTCGCTCAATATACAAGTGTGTCAAGTTCTCATCTATTTCTTTTAAGGATTGCTCAACGCCTCGCAGTCCATTTATCAGATCCTGTTCATAGTTATCGAGGGCACAGCTAAAAATATGCCAGAAGACTGCGCTCTGATCGGAGGCGTGTTCCTCCCACAATTGTTGCCAGGATGCGCGCTCCTCAACGCTGGCCAGCTCAATTGCCAACTTGTAGTCGGGATGTTGCCTGTGCCAGTTCACCTCGAGCAATTCGTGCCCCTCACGTCGCCAGAATTCAAGCCAAGCTGTTTGCTGCACCTGCTCCTTCCACTCCGGCTGCAAATCGACGTAGCCGGATGACTCAAAGAGCTGCGAAAACGCGTAAAGCTGAGGATTGTTGCGCGATGTACTCAAATAATGCGAGTTCATCTCACTGTCTCGCCCTGCACAGCATTCGCATCTCGAGTCGACGTTGCAGCAGCTCCTCGGCCTGATCGATGCGATTCGTGTGCCACACACTCAAAGCCGGACTATAAGTTTTCCGCACCTGCTCTAGAAATGTTAAACGTGCCTCTTCGTTGTCCTCCAGCTTCAGCAACTGTTCATGCAAACCTCGTGTGGTCAACGTTGGACTGTTCGGCTGCTTAACGTTGCATAGCAAGATCTCGCCGCGCACAATGCAATAGCTGCCGTGCGTTAACTTTTCGACGCCAGTGTTGTCATAGGTGAAGTTCAACAGCAGCAAGGACACCGAGCCAGTGGGCAGCTTGTAGGCACTACATATAAACAGCGCAAATGGCAGATGAGCATCTCTAGATGTACATATCTCATTACCTACCTTGGGAGGTGGGGTACGGTCACGTTTTCTAGTTTAAAATAATCCGGAATTGCACACAAGCGTCCAATTATTGCGCATTTTCCGTAATGTATCTGCCGATAATCGGGCTCAAGAACCAACTCCTCCACTAGCAAGTATTTAAAGAAGTCACAGTACTTGGGTAGACTTTCAGCTGGATCGTCGACGTCACTCATCACTTCATAATCTTAAGAATTTCTTCAATCAAGTTGCCTGCAACTAAAAACAGAAATATGCGCGTTTGGGCCAGCCAGTGTTGTAAACGACGATTGTGCAAGAGAAAAGCTGCTATCGGTCTTTAAAAAAATATTGGTCACACTTAAGGTGCAGAGCGGCAAGCACTTTTACTATTTATCGTTTTCATGCACAAGCCGACTTTCCTGCAGCCCTGATTCATAAAAAAGCGGCATTGCAAGAAAACAAATTTAATCTTTATTATAAATTTCATATTAAAATAACGCGCAGCACAAAAAGTGAAACATGTCCTTTATGAATCCAGTGGATATGGTGGACGAGGACGCTGCGGACTTGCAGTTTCCAAAAGGTAACAACAAACAATAAGGAATGTTAAATTGCCCAATATTTGCAAGTTACAAGTGAAAGCAGACAAGAATTGTTGCGGTGGCCAAAAGGGCCACATTTTCACCATAACATATTCCATATTAACTATTTGCAGAGAAACCTAAAGCTTTGCAGATCCAGCGCACACCCATTAAATATTCCCTCGCACGTAGCGATGAGAAAACCAAGCGTTTAACAGTCTTTTACAATGCAAACGCATTTCACAGTCGTTTGGAGGAAATAGCCGCTGTTGACGAGACAAGCACATCAAATAATTGCTTAAATCCAAGGCAATCTGCCGAGACGACATGTGCGATGTGTCGTTGTGGCATCGTGGAGCCATACATCAAGTGTTACGAGTGCCTCGACGTGCTGCTCTGCTTGCCGTGCTTTGCACGAGGTCGCCAAATGGGCGCCCATCGCAACAGCCACGCCTATATCATAGTACGCGATGATATTCAGGTATTTGCCAGCGAGCCTGGCTGGACGTCACGGGATGAGCGCACTCTGCTCCAAGCACTGCGCACACACGGCTACGGCAACTGGACGGCTGTGGCAGGTGCACTCGATGGACGCAGGCATGGTCCAGAGGAGATACAGCGACACTATCACGACTGCTACTTCGGTGGCATCTTTGAGCGCTTGCTGGGATTGCAGCATGCGCGAAATTGCTACCTGCCGGAGCGTATGCCATATGTGTTCAAGATGAGATCTTTGGAGCCGCCCCGACACGATGATATTGCCTCTATACAATTTAAGATTAATGCCGGCTACAGATGCGCCCGTGGCGACTTTGACACACCCTACGACGCCTCCGCCGAGGGTCTGCTAACTGTGATGCTCGAGCAGCAACGTGTGCTCGCCGATGATGAACTGGAAATTACAGCGTCAGACAAGGAAGTAGTCGAGGAGCTGCAATGTGCACTCGTCCATGCCTACAACAATCGCTTGAGGTGTATTTCGCAACTTTGAAATGATTATGCAAGCGACAATAATTGTTATTATCTTTGATAGGGAACGGCAGCGACGTTACAGCATCATGCGTAAGCATGGCCTCATCATGCCCAATCGCACAGTTAGCTGGATAACGAAATATGTGAATGCCTTTCGCAGCGATGCGAGCTGCATGCGGTTCCTCGCCCTCATGCAGGTCTGCCAGCCCATTGATTTTGACAAGCTGGTCGAGTCGCTGCACTACTATCGCCAGCTGCAGAATCGCCTGAACTGGCTACATGATCTTCGCCAGCACGGTGTGCGCACGCTCCATGGTGGCGCACTCTATGCTCGTCTCCACAAGCAGCGCCAGCAGGCACAGCGGGATTATATGCGTCAGCGGCAGAACGATGCCCAGGACTGGCAACAATTGGTGCACCACTATGAACACAATCAAAATGCCGAGCTGCCACTGGGCAGCAGCTCCAGGATGTATATGTTTTATCCACGTCGCAAGGCGAGTCCCATCGAAATTTCTGGTAAGTTAGATGCACAAAATATATGTAGTTAAGAGATTGGACCTTTAAATAGCGGCTTAACCCTTAATAATAAGTCTTGATCCTGAAACGTAAATCATTACTTTTTTTAAATAACCAAATTTGCCAAATTGTAAAAAAGCTACTTTAACCTGCCTCTCGTTGCAGATCTGCCTGGTTACTCCAAACTGGAGGCTGGAGAGCGGACACTTTGCAGCGTCGAACGTCTGATACCGCAGGCTTATTTGGAGTATAAAAACCAGCTGATTGCGGAGCAGTCAAAACTGGGCCATCTGCGTTTGGCCGACGCGCGGCGACTCATCAAGATCGATGTGAACAAAACGCGCCGGATTTATGATTTCTTGGTGAAAAATGGCCACATTCGACCGCAGACTTTTGGCTAAACCAAAGCTTTACTTTGTTTGTTTCACTTGTAAATTGCACTTATCAGTTATGTCTTGTCTATCAGTTATGTTTATATTATTCTGTTTCTTTTATTTATTTTTTGCTCTTTACAGAGTTCGAAAGTGCCGAAACGTTGCTTATATCGGAGGTGCATATGCTGCTTGATCATCGCAAGCGGCAAAACGAATCCGCGGACGAGGAGCAGGAATTTTCAGAGGTCTTCATGAAAACCTATGCCTACACAGACAGTTTTCGCAAATTTAAGAACAAGGAGACCATTATGTCCGTGCGCAGGTAATGCAGCCAGCTCCCTTCAAACTAGTCACATCTGTTGACAAGTATATTTATTTGAATTATTCCCAGTCTGCTAATGCAAAAGAAGCTGCACAAATTCGAACTAGCTGCCCTGGGCAATCTGTGCCCAGAGGCGCCGGAGGAAGCCAAAGCATTGATACCATCGCTAGAAGGTCGATTTGAAGATGAGGAGCTCCGCCAAATACTTGATGATATCGGCACCAAACGTAGCTTGCAGTACTAAAACAGTCGACTGTATAGTGTATCTAAAATCATTACTATATATTCCTCTAAAATAATCTTAGTTTTAAGAATAAAGCGAAAACTGCTTAAAAATTTTCTTCGCAGACATTTCCTTTATCTGATTACCTCGTCTTAGTTTTTGCCGTTGATTCTGGCACCAAACATACAAAATATATGTAAATGATTCATTTCATTTAACGAAAACGGCGCAGCAAATTCTGTGGCGAGAACTCCAGATCCGTTCGACTGTTGTCTGTTGTCCTTTTAAGCAAAAGGTGTTGGCAGCACTGTGCTGACGACTATCGATTGTTATAGAGTCTATCGAGCTATCTATCGAACTGGTACTGAATACAAAACATAAAACATTTTTTATATTTTATTTTCCATTTTTGTAGTTGATTTATTAATTTATTACACGTTTCCTTTAGAACTGAGGCTCAAAATACTCAATTACGACTCCCGTAGTTTCATATTTTGGTATACGCCTAGAAGTGATCGGTCGCTGACTTTGAAAAGCGATTCAATTGAGTTTGTTCAGCAATGAGCGACTAACAACAATGAATGCAAACGATTACCACAAACAACAATAACACAACTAAGATTGCTTGAGTAAGTTATTAAGCAAAAGCATACAAAATGAACAAGGACAATTCTCCCATGCAAATGGATAACGAGTTGGCGATACGACTGCTCGCAGATGGCGCCGTACTGGTCATAGCTGGTGTTCCTGTGGGCACTGAATTTGGCGTCGATTTGTGCTCCTATACAATCGGCCCGGACTTTCGGGGTGTCAAGATGATACCGCCTGGCGTACACTATGTGTGGTGTGCTTCTCGTGGACCATATGGCGATGTGGCGCCACGTGTTGGATTCGTCCACTTCTTTCACCCAAATGAGGTTCTCGTACGCGAATGGGATAGTGACCGGGAGGAGCTGCGTCCACGTCAGACCGCCGATCCGGAGCTGGAGCGTGAGCGCATACGCAAGAACCTGGCGCAACTGGAGCGCGTCCTGGCCCCATACGACTATCGCTATGTGTGCCAGTGGAAGGATCTGACGGGCAGCGTAACGGAGCCATGCGTCAGCCGCTGCCGCCCCGAACTGGGCACAATACGCACCAATATCGAGCTGCAATCCTGCACGGATGCCGATCGGCCACGAGGCAGCGCCGACAGCAGCATCAACAGACGCAACAGAGCGGCGAAGCTGCTGCTGGATGAAAGTGAAATGCTACCGCATCTAAAGCCCGTGGCGGGCACTGCACCACGTTTCAGTGTGGTGCCATCGCGTGTGCCAACAAATGCACCGCCAGCAGATCTATCGCGGCATGCCATTGACTGCATAGCAGCTGTAGACACGCTCTTCGCCGACTTTGACAACAATCCGGATGCACTAATTGAGGAACTGCAGCTGGCATTTGTGTTCTTTTTGGTTGGCTACTCGGTGGAATCGTTGGACCACTGGCGCAAGCTGCTGGCCCTGTTGTCGCACTCGGAGACAGCAGTTGGCAAACACAAATTGGCCTATATGAAATACAGTGAAGTGCTGGCCCACCAGCTGCCCCATCTGCCCGAGGAACTGATGGCGCCTACCATGCACAACACCGTCTACAAGGATGTGCGTGAGTTGCTAGTGAATCTATACGCTGGCGGTCTCATGGTCAGTGCTGAGCGGCTAATCAAGCGTCTGGCCAAGCAGCTGGGCTGGCATTTCGATGGACTACTCGACGAGGATCCCGAGGAGCAGCCAGTGATTATAGAGCTGTCACAGTAGGAAGTGCAGTAAGATAATAAATACTTTTTGTAGTATTTTTATTGATAACTGTGTGTTTTTTTTTACAGGGGGTCACCTTAACGCATCGAGTGCTGGGCACGCAAATATTGCCAGAGATCTTTGGCTGTGCGTATGCTGACCATAAACTGGCACATCTTGTTCTCGATCAGGCATAGTATGATAAACTTGGCCCGTTTGTCCTTCAGCAGTGACTGCAAAAATGTCAAACTTTGACTGGACTGTCGCTACTCTGTCGTCATTCATACATACATCTTCATTATTCTCCGGGCCATTCTCAACGACGCTCCATAGATTCTCCGACTCCAGATAGGCACGCACCGTCATTGACCAGGCCTTGTAGTTATCCAGGCCTTTCAGCTTCTCAATATGCAGTTGCAGCGTCATTGTTGTCTTCAGTCCGGCGACGTTTTCACAAATAAATCGTTAGACCTCTCGGCTCGTCCATTTTGTGTGCTGTTCGCCCAGATTCTCAAATATAGATTATATGTAAGCATTTGTATATGGCATGTCATGTCTTTTGTTGTGTACTTGGGTGGTGGTGGTGCCGTGGGTGGTTATGCATAACTCAAACAATGGCCACTAGACCTAGTTATAATGCAGCAACTGCTGCTGCTGCTGCTCATATTGCTGCAGTGCGGCCAAGGTATAAAAGTGAAATTGGAATTCAATGCCGCTGGCTTTGGCATTGAACTGAAGTGGCCACAGACACCTCTTGAAGCATCTAGCAGCGCTATATTGTTGCACGTGTCATTGACTGCGCCTAGCTGTAAAATTGTTACATGTGGGCATATCAGCTTAGACTCATTGGGACGGAAAACAAAATACGAAATTCTTTCTATTTTTCAGTTTTAAGAATATGGAATTTTTGTTAAAAATTCACAAAATGTATTCCATTGATTGCTACTTTCCTGTAAGTTATTAAAATTAAATAATTTCCACATTTTGATTCCACTAGGAGCGGCAATCAAGTCAAGGCTTTCGAAAAATAATGATCCCAAATATTTATCTATCTATAAGTGTTTGTTTTAAATAATTTTTAATCTTTAATGTTAACAAAAAAAATTAAGGAAAAAATTATAATTCTAATAAAGCTCTATAAAAATTGCATTTTTGGAAAATGTGCCCGTGTGAGAAATGGGGGAAGGAGGGTTTGGATGGCAGTTTTACTATCGCGCGACCGTCTTCAAAACAATTTAACCTACACATTTCTACTAAAAGTGTAAAACCCGCGACTTTACAATTTTTGCAAAATCTACCTTCAAGGTTGGAAAATGATAATATACGTTTTTTTTTAGAAAATTTAAAAAATGTAGTAAACAAATGAATATTGCACAATTGTGCTAAGTTTTTCGCTCTCAGGTGTCGAACACAGATGATTAGGTCTCGTTCACACTACTGAATAATATATTGTATATCCGGTTTGAATCATCTTTTTAAGTTGCTCAAAAATAAAAAGTAACATGAAAAAATACCATTAATTATAAATTAAGTAACAAGCTGAAACAAAAGCATAATTGTTGTTTTTTGTGGAATCGTTATGAAAAGTAATTGGAATTTCGCGGTTTATTAATTACACCATTTAGCCTTTTGAACAGAGTACCCCCTAATATAATCTAAAAATATTAGTTAATAAAAAAATATGTGAAATAAGATACCATGAGCTAAATTGTTAAATAGGCTTGTTGAATAGTATGAAACTTAATGTAACTTTTACAGTTGATCAAAAAATTGTCTGGATATTTATATTATAAATCAATCGGATATACTTATATAATCCTCTTTATTAAACTATCGTAAATCAATATGCATCCATTGATGCATCTTGATCTATTGTATTTGATACAATGGGATCAACTTGATCTGCGCGTAGCACACGAAAATTTATATTCCAAATTTGAAGTCTCCGAAATCTGCCTGTTTATACATGCGGACACGCTGATCAAGAATATATAGACTTTGTTCTGTTCCGCCTGTTACATATTTATGAACAACTTTAATTTAGTACTTTCCCATTTTTAATAGGTACAGTACAAAGTATGGAAATTTTCCATTGATAAATTACGATTTTCAGACGCAGAATTTATGTAAAATTCCACTGCATGCACCTCAATACTTACTTTCCAAGCAGAAAGACATATTTGTTACGCAATGTCTATGAAACTTGTACGATCCATTTGTGAACATAAATATCGTCATAAAATATACGCGAACCAATTGTGAAGAAATCACGAAAACGACAATTGATATTTCCGTTTTCAATTAATTCAATAAGTAAAGCTTCTGATGAATACGTTGTTGAGTCCCCCTTAAAAATCACATTTCCTATCTACAAAAATCACTGAAAGCAATAGTTTTGAGCGCACTATCGATGGTCCATCAATATAATAAATAAAGTCTATTAACTTTCTTTTTATTATTTTTATTTGAAATGAATACGAATGTCAGTTTAGCTGTTTTCTGATTTTGTTGTTTTTCGTTAAAGAACCTTGTGTTTTTTTTCATTATTAATTATATATGTTTGCTGCTGCCCCAATGCTAAATCAACTTTCTGCTCGACTTTTCACGGCTGTGTTTTTCAATATAAATACTACAAGTATATATATATGTATATATATATATATATATATATATATATATATATATATATATATATATATATATATATATATATATATATATATATATATATATATATATATATATATATGTATATATATATATTAATACACACATATTCATACAACTTTTGGTTCTCACTTTGCGCGGATCGATTCCGGAAAAAATACAAGCGGAAAGTGTTTAAATAGCATCGTGTGTGCGAAAAAGTGCGCTTCCATTTGGGTATTGGAATTTGCTGTTTTTGTTGGTGTATTTGGGCCAAATTATTCGCATGGCACGCAGCAATAAAAAGGGGAAATGTTTCGTTTTTAGCCAAATCAAAAGATATTTTTAATGCCTTGTTTCTTGTTATTGTTTTCGAATGTTAAATGCAAACATTTTGTCGCGAAAGGTTTCTCTTCTTTTCTTTTTATGTAGGGAAAATGGGGGGGGGAGGCGGTTGATTTTCACTTGGAAAAATTCGAAATCTCTACAAATTACATAAGTGGTAGGCATAGAAAATATACAAGTACATATATACGAATGTATATATACTAAGATGTATACAATATATATTTATATATATATGTACCATTTGTTTAGCAACTACAAATACTTTTTTTTTCGTTTTTAATATTTATATATATATGAAATGTTTGTGGCGAAGTGAATTAAAAACTTGTAAACAAACTCTTGTACATATATAAAAAACACTAAACATAAACTGCGCTTAATTTTTCATTTTGTTTTTTCTTTTGATTAGCATGCGAGTAAGAGACAGGTGAGAATAATTTAAGAGTAAAACGAAAGGATAGCTTTTCTATTTGTATTAATGGTGATTGGTTACACTGTCTGCGTGTGTGTGTGATTGTGTCTGTTTCTGTATGTGGGTGTAGGTGTGTGTGTGTTGTGTCAAGTGTTGTGAACAATACACTTACATACATACAGATTTAAGCTTAAGAATTCGTTTTACTTTTATCCATTCGAATTTCGCTTCAACTAACATTCCATTTTTTGTTTCAGTTATTTTTACTTGACTTCTTGTTTTTGCTCATTTCGTTCTTACTTCACATTTGCTTTTTGCTTTTTGTTTCGTATTAAATTAAAATTAATTGCTGTTTTCTGCTTTTTCCTTGCTGCGTTTGCATTCTTTTAATTCGTATTTTGTATTTTTTTTTTGTTAAATTACGCTTTTGAATGCTTCGGCTTTAATTCAATTTGCGCATATTATTTTAGTTTTGTATTTTTGTTTTTCATTTGGAGTGTTACCTTTTAATTTATTTGTTTTAATTACTTTTATGACTGGCTTAAAATTAACGTTGTGTATTTTATGTTTTTTATTTTCTTGCTGATAGATTGTTAAATTAATATTATACCAACTTTTTGATGAAATTTACGTTTTGCTTTTTGCTTTTTTCGTGTGTGTGCTATGTGTTGTGTTGTGTGGTGGTGTGTGAGTGAGTGTGTGTGTGTGGTTGTTGTATGTGGATGTGTTTTACGTTTGATTTGTTCTTGAAATGAAGTTTATTTTGTTTTCGCTTCTCAGAATTAAATATAATATTTATTTGAATATAATATAATGCTTTTACGTTTCTCGAATGCACAAAATTTCAAATGTAGTAGAGTTGCTTGTTGTTGTTGTTGCTTTCGCTTTAGCTTTTTTTGTTTTTGGGAGGAGCCAGGACAAAGATTCGCAAAGCACAGCTAAAACAGCAACGGCGGCTGCACCTCTTCTTTTTTATTTCTTATCGTCCCCAACAACAGCCACGCCCGCGTCTCGACCACCATCAGTTTGTGCAGCATTTTGTTGTGTGTGTGTGTGTGTATTGTGTGTGGCTTGGCTTATGGGTGGTTTCCATCTTAATTGCTTATGTGCTGTTGTGATTTTGCCTGATGTCCTTTGCTACTTCTTGCCGCTGCTGTTGGTTGGTTGATGTTGTAGATGTTGTTGTTCGCCCGATCTTCTTGTTGTTGTTGCTGTTGTTGTCGCGTTTCAAGTTGTTGATGTTGATACTACCCCGGCTGCGTGTTGTTGTTTTTATTGTTATATGCATATATATTATATGTATTATATTTACTTTAGAAGGTATATGTTTTTTTTGTTTTTTTTTGTTGTTTTTTTTTTGTTTTGTGTGTGTTTAAATGGAAGGGCGGGGGTTTACTTAAATTACGACACATCCTGATCCTCAACATCCTGAATTTCCTGTTTGGGCTCGCCATCACCTGTTGTCGAGTCTGTATTTAAGAGAGAGACAGAGAAGAGTTGTATTTTATTTGAATTATTCGGTATAGTTTTGTTAAATATTACACACCATCTGCCTGCATATCGGACGTCCATAATGTGAGGTTGTCCCGCAGAAGCTGCATGATCAGGGTCGAGTCTTTGTAGCTCTCTTCGCTTAGCGTATCCAATTCAGCGATGGCATCATCAAATGCGGCTTTCGCCAAGCGGCAAGCGCGATCCGGCGAATTGAGTATCTCATAGTAAAACACCTAAACGTAATTGGTAAAATATACAAATGTTAATGAAGGAGATCCGCATTGATATAGCTTCCGATCATCTGTATTGGGATCACTTACCGAGAAGTTCAAAGCGAGACCCAATCGAATGGGGTGTGTTGGAGGCAGATCGTTCATGGCGATATCACTGGCTGCCTTATAGGCGATCAGTGAATTCTCTGCCGCATCCTTGCGATCCGAACCGGTTGCGAATTCGGCCAAATAGCGATGATAATCGCCCTTCATCTTATAGTAGAATACTTTACTTTCGCCGGACGTGGCGCATGGAATGAGATGTTTCTCGAGCACATTTAATATATCCGAGCAAATGTCGCGCAGCTCCTTTTCCACCTGACCGCGATAGGTCTTAATCATTTCCAATTTCTCCTCGGCACCCTTATTCTCCTCCTTCTGTTCAATGGAGGTGATAATGCGCCACGAGGCGCGACGTGCTCCAATCACATTCTTGTAGGCAACCGAGAGCAGATTACGCTCCTCAACGGTCAGCTCAACGTCCATGGAGGCGACCTTCTTCATGGCCTCCACCATTTCTGCAAGACAACGACAATAAAACAAAAAAAAAATAAGATAAGACACACACATAAGCAATGCACACATATTTCTCTAATTTAGTTTATGACATAATTATTATAAATGCAGTTCACACTTAATTTCGAGTTTACTTACACATTCTTGGCCATTACGCCAGAGTTTTTAAATATTTGGCAGTTTATTAATTAGTCACCTCTATCGACGACCATATCCAGTGTATTTGTTCGAATTTAATTTTCATATTTATCAACTATCAAACACAAGCACACACACACACACACCTGCGCTTATTATCTACACACACCCAATAATCTTTAATGACATAACTTATCACACAACAGCCGTGTATACTTTATGCATAGCTAGCTGTTGGTTTCCTGTGATGAGTCTTTGACCGTTTTAGACCTATTCAGTCATAGTGTTGTTGTTGCTGTCGGTTGTTGTTGCTGTCGGTTGTTGTTGCTGTCGATATCAACTATTACATTTTCCTTTTGCATTTTTCTTGTCAAGTCAAGCCAAACAACAGCGTCATCAAAATTGTGACAAAAACGCGTCATGAATCACATGCATTGGCAGTGGCTACTGGGAACTTAACGAATGCCAGCAGCTGCAATGTTTTAAGTCACCGTTACTTTGGTGTGAGTGCTGATAACACATCGACACACACACATACACATATATATTTGAAACAAATCAGAGTATTTGTTGCATTTTGACTTTGCCTGCAATTTAATTTTTGTGCTCTATCTTTCTCTCTCTCTGTTTCTCCCGCATACAGACAGCCAGCTGCTGACGTATATATTGAGTATGCAAGTGTAAATGTGTATATAAATATATATATATGTATATGTACACACGCAGCCCCCGTCGACCCTGCAAAAAACCCCGCCTCGTCGCTTCGACGCTGACCGAGCACGCAGCGGGAGCTTTGTTATTCGAAATTGGCTGTTGTTCTTCTAGCTATGGCACGTAGCTGTGAAAATTGGAATAAAGTTTGCCTGCATGATTCATGCGGCTCATTTTAGTAGCATCTCGTCATTGTTGTTGTCGCTCATGTTGTTGTTCTTGCTGTTTTAATGTGTGCGATTTTTGGTGAACTTCAAAATTGTTGTTTGGCAATGGCACAGAAAATGCAATGTATTTTACAACACTGTGCGCGTCATCGTCAGCATGGCGCAAATTGCACAGAGAATGAGAGGGAGACTGAGAAACAGACAGACAGACAAGGAGATAGCGGCGAGCAGATGTTGCACCTAATCTGGCTAATCTAAAATGTGTATGCTTACTCGCTCTTTACGCTGCCTTGCTGCGTTATGTTAATTAAAATTTGTTAAAAGCGTGGCACAAAATCAATAGACAAAAATGTTACGTTATTCAGACTAAATTCCCACAGCGTGACAAACACAAAGCCCAAAGTCAACAGCCGAAAATATCAAATCGAACCACCAATCCCGCCCCCGCCACGCCAATCATCCTCTACAAAGCCCCCCCCCCCCCCACTCCAAAACACGCATACAGAAAATACTGTAAAATATTTTCGAGAATAGCGTGCCAGTTTCGGTATTTAAATACTGACGACGCTCGTTTCCGACAAAGGACCCAAAAAAAAAGATCGCGATATAGAAGCAAGAACCCTTTGACCTTTGTCTGTTTATGTGTACGCCTGTCTTTGGTCCTGGGTGTGTCAAAGCATAAAATTCATACAGACATTTTACATTTTACACACACATATATATATCATATGCATATGTGTGTGTGCCAGGTAATTGACATGCGTATATGCCGTAAGTTAAAAAAAAGTATAATTACACTACCAAAAAAAAAAAAACTATGCCAGTCAAATCTGTAACATTTTGCCGACTTTACTGGGTTCTCTCTCATTTCTTAGTTTTCATTGACGACATTAATGCGAACGTCAACTAAGAACACAAAAAGAAGAGTGTAAAAAAAGAAAGAAAAAAAAAAACAGCTAGAATATAAGCGGAGCAGCAGCAATCAGCACCTGAAAAGCACACTTAAAGGCTAGCAGAGAACCAGCGTAGCTACCGTCACTGGCGTAAACGAACGAGCGAGGAGAGAGAGGGAGGTGTTCAAAGAGTTGACGGCGTTGTGGGGGCGCCGCAAAGGCAGGAAGGGGAGGGATTGAGAGGGCTGTGTAAAGAAGCAAAGAGAGCCAGACGTTGTTGGTTGCCGGCTGCCAGCCTGAATGCATTTGTATTAGTAGTCTGCTCTCCGGCATGACCAAAGTTGTCCAAGTGCGACAAGGCCAACGCCAAGTGCTCACACAAATACACAGACGTTGGCAGCTTGGAGCTCACGCAGGCGAAAATAAGAAGAAAAACATGTGATACAGACTTTAATGTTCACGTATATACGTGCGTGTGCGTGTGTGTGTGTGTATGTGCATGTGCCCGCAGTAGCTGCTAATAGTTGATTGACTTCTTTGGGCCGCAGCAGCAATAAGAGAGAAAATGAGATACAAATGCCTCCAGTGTTAAATGTTGTCAGATTTGCTGCTGCCAATTGTTACTTGTAATTACTACTCTCTCATCATAGCGCTCAAGCTTGGAAACAGCAAAAATTCTGCCGCCGCAGTAGTATTGGGGCAGAGAACAAAATGAAAAAATCCGTGTCGACGACAGACAACACACTAGTTATCTCGTTTTAACGCACACGGCAACTCAATTGAGTGTTGTCGCGAGCGCGCGCGCTTTTTTTTTTTTAGAAGAATACCGAAAACGCCGTTTATTGCTGCCCAGCGCTTTATGTTTTGAGCAGCGCCGCAGTATTTTAATTAATTGAAGTATTTTTAATTAAATAGGCAGCAGAACCAGCAGCCAGCCACAATACAATTTGTCGACTTTGATGGTGTTAGTAGTTAGGATAGTAGTAGTAGTGAGCGTGCGTGCGTATTCCTCTCTAAGGCACACACACACATACATACATACATACATACATGCATACAACACATGCGCACAGAAGCATGAGTAATGCTAGTGCAAAAAAACTTATTTTTTTCATTTCTGCACTATCAAAGCAGAGTTGCCAGAGTTAAATTATGCGAAACAATTTATATAAAGAAAATAAATTTAAGCAGAGACGTTAACTAATTTCCATAGTATAGACAGGGATGTCTGACTCCGAAGCGCTGAGGAGATCGTTACTATACAGCGAATTTGTGGGCCAGTCACACAATCGATTCATTCATCGATTTTTCGCAGTACGACGTCGCCGCCGCCGCCTTTCTGCTACTGCTGCGCAACAAAAGCACATTTTGAGTGGCAATGAAAGAGCGGAGGAACAAGAGAGAATGGTGGAAAAAAAAAATTGCCTCATCGATTTTGGGTATGGGAAAACGAAAACACCACTCGTTAATAATACCACCACTTAAATATTTAACAAATTATGCGCGGCTTACGATTTTCTTCGTAAGAAAAAAAAGAGTGCCTTGGCAACACGCACACACATACACATAAATGACTACAAAACAGCCCTTAGCAACGATGTCATTTCCCAGTCGCAGTCGCGCAGCCCTTGCGCGCCTTTCACCAACACTAAATACACAAAATTTCAACTCGAAAATTTATCCCCTCCCCACTGTTACCTATAACTCTACTAAATTCTTTTTCTTTAGTCCAGTTACTATGTACGTACTATCATATACATAATATGCAACAAAGTTGCTTTTTGCAAAGGCCAACACAGAAAAACCACGCGAATTTTTGCCGGTAAAAATCAGGTTTGTTTTACATTTTTTTTTTCTTTTCCCAGTCTTTGCCGTTTCTACAGCGTTGCTTCCTTGCCTCGCCTCACTTCGCTTTGCCTAATCGTCATCTTCTTTTTCATTCGGTATTCTTTCGTTTCGCAGAAAACACTACTCATCGGCAGAGGCGACGACGCCGTCTCGACGCTTCTGCCGAAAGTCAAGTCATTGGCAGCGAGGCGCACCTACACACAAATGTCTGCAAAATTAATAATTTCCAATCCACTTTTTTCCTTTCGCCGTCCACAGTATAAATTGTGGACATTTTCAGCACGATTTTTTTTTTTGACTAAGCGTAGGCCACGCGACGTCAGCTCTGCTGGACGACCCCTCCCCATAGTTGGCGCTCCGTTGAGAAAAAAAAATTTTTCTTCCTATCTTTTGGGTACTTACCATCGTAGCGCTCGGCCTGTTCGGCCAATTTTGCCTTGTAGACGTTATTTTCACGTTCAGTCATTGTGTTTTTTTTTTTAAATCCTTTTTAGTAAAATTAATCCACAGAAAAAATTATTTTAAATGCTCCCGGTACGTGCGGCGTCGATTCTGCTGCTGCTGTCTTCGTCGCCTTCTTTTTCTCTACTGCTTTTTGAGTTGACAAGCGCTCTGCTTAGCTGTAGCTGCTTAGCTCACTCGCACGCTCGGTTCGGCTGCCGTTCCGTTTTCAATGTCGTCGTGGACGCTACACGAATCTGCGAGTACAGTAAAGAACGTTTTGGGGGTAAAATGAATAATTTTCAGTTTTTCGGTTTGTCAAAACTATTTATAATGTTAACTGTCTTTCCGCACACACACATTCACTAGACAATATTAATTTAAATTATTTGATTGATTTTCAAATGCATACTTTATGGTCGTTTGCTCGAAAATGTCTCTGAGAATGAGAGGCAGAGGCGCGGCAAAAAAAAGATGGCTCTTGAATGGCGCTGTACGAAATATCGCACAATATCGATAAGAGCAAACTATCGTACAATTACTATCTATGCTACGGTCTCACCATACACTTTACTCACGCATTGTTACAAAAGTTTTGAATTTTTTTTTCCAAAAATCGTGATACACTTAATAAAAGTCAGTTCAACCACGTACTACAGCACCAGTACTGTAAAATCTAACAATAAAATAATTAATGCATATATGTATTCACTCAAAGGTTAATAAGGAATACCTTCCCGCAGAGAAGAGCGTGTGATTAACCAGGGCTGCGCAACCGTGTGTTGAAAGTGGCGGGGCTGTTAATTTTAAATTTAGGTATAATCATCGTTTTTCTCCCAAATAATCATGTTTTATAATGAATTTCATCCAATTGCATGTATATTAATAAATGGGTTATTTTATTTTTGCTCTTTTATATTGCTTTCCAATGAAAAGATAGTGGTATTCATTTTGAATAATTAAATGCTCATCGCTATTAACAGTTTCGAAAATGTTAATGCTACAGCGCTGTTATGCCTCCTAATCCAATCAGTTGAGAGGGAAAACAACAATAAAACTTTCGTCGAAAATGAAAAGAAACTCGTAAAGAAAACAAACATTGCTCAATACAAGTATTGAAAGGATGAAATTGCGAGGCGAAAGCAATTGCGTCTTGCTCTCGTCATAGATTGCCACAATATCAATGTGTTCAAATCAGTTGACTAGCGTCAACAATCGTATTCTGCAGCAGATCTTTGCTGCAACTCCGCAAATTGAATCCGAAAAGGAATCGGTCCGCGATGAATCTCAATCTGGGTGGTTGGATACACAGCTTCACAGTGACCGACACACAGCAGCACAAGGGAGGCTACACCATCTACAAGATTACATCGATCGTAAGTGCATATACAATATACATATATATATTTGATAATTAATTGAAATGAGAAACATTTGGTTAGCTCTTTCCCCGCTCGGTGCCACAGGCATTGACCTGCCTGGTTGTGTGGAAGCGATTCCATGAAATCAAGCGACTGCATCGGGAACTGAGCCGTCGGCACAAAGCGCTTCATTTGCCCGGAAAGTTGCCCGAGCCGACAGACAGCAGCTATTTCAAGCGTTTCGATGCGGCTGTCATCCAGCGACGCAAGGATTACATTCTTCAATTCCTGGACTTTGTGGCCCAGCATCCGGCACTGTACAAATGCAACACATTTACGCAGTTTTTCAGTGAGGCACATTCGCCAAATGCGTCGCCACTGCGTAAATTGTATGTAGAACGTTCACTCAAATCGCCGAGCAGCGGATCAAATTGCGATAAACTCGATGTGGCCTACGATCCACCAGTGGACCCTCCAATTAGCGATAGCGAGCAACCTAACAATGATAAGGTTGTAGAGCAGCCGCAGTCTAAGCGCGACTATAGCCGTCTGTTGACGCCGATGGCCTCGGTGGAGAGCGAAGATAGCGATTACATTTACGAGGCGGCCTTGGAATTCAGCTATGCTGTCCAGGCGGAGGTCAATCTGGAGTATGAGGAGGCGCACCGGCGCTACAAGCATGGCGTTGAACTGTTGCTCGTCGGCGCCAAGCATGATGCCAACGAGGATCGCAAGTTTATAGCCAAGGCTAAGATAGCTAAGTATTTGGCCCGAGCCGATGAAATCCATGCGAATTTCTTGCGCTCCGATTCCATGCGAAACAACGGGAGAAAGCTACAATTTCAGCTGTCGCTGGATGAGGTGGACAACGTGTCGCAACTGGAGTGTGCCTGGAATCAATTGGCCAAATACAAGGTGCTCCAAGTGCTCGGGCAACGAGTCATGCAGGTGCAGTGCATCACACAGCCCCAAACACAGCCGATGGCCATTATGAAGGGCATCGAGAAACCGGCCAGTAATTCACCCACTCAAAGCATCTTTCTGCCGCAGCGTGTGCCGTACATGTGCCAACTATTGGCCTACTTTCAATCGGATCAGAAGATATTCCTGCTGCTCAAGCAGGCGGAGGGCGGACGTCTCTATGACTACATACAAAGCTATACGCCAACGGCCAGCAAATGTGAAGATTATGCCGACCTATTTCCAGACGATCAGCTGTTGACCAAGGATAGCGATGTGACGGATTTGGTGCGCAACTCACAGCAGTTGCTCAAGTCCGTCTCGCATACGTTGAGCAGCCTGCAGGCGGGTGCTCTGACTCCGAGACTCCAAAAACCGAGATCCACTGCTGGCAGGCACTTTCCGGAGGCCTGCCTCCGGCAGTGGGCTTGTGAACTAGCCGTCGCCATACACAGTCTGCATGGCAAGGGCGTCATCTTACGGGATCTGCACATGGAGAACATTCTGCTTGGCCATTCGGGCCAATTGATGCTCACGTACTTCTACCAGAACGAAGGACTCAGCTCCGATGACAATTATGTGCATAAGGCGCTCAATTTGAGAGCGTTAAGCGATCATTTCGTGGCACCGGAGCGACCGCTCAGCTTTCGCTCCGACTGGTGGAGCTATGGCGTGGTGCTCTACCAGCTGCTCCTCGGTGTGGTAAGCTACTCTAACTGATTCATTGATGTTACAACTAATCCCCTAGGCTAAAAAAAAAACGTTGTTCAATTGCAGCCCTACAAGGCGGTGCATCCCGGGCAGCTGGAGCTCTACGGCTGCGTGCTGTATCCGTCAGATGCCTTGGACATTTCGGATAATGCACGCAGCTTACTGGAGCAACTGCTACAACTGACTCCGGATCTGCGCCTGGACTACGAACAGCTGCAGGCGCATCCATTCTTCGAGGGCATCGTTTGGCAGGCGGTTCTAAAGCAGGGCAACATTTCCACTTAGTTTAAATCTAATCGAATATATCGATATCGATATCGAACTTGCGCAGTTCTACACTTAATTCAAATGTATCTATCGAATTTAATATATCGATATCGATAAAAGCGAATTTGTGCAATTTGGGCACTTTAATTGTTCTACAGTCGAATTTGCCTAGAGTGAACTTTTTTCTTAACTAAAAGTAAGTTTGACTGTAGTTTAGTTTATATAATACGGTTATTTCAATAACCCAGCCAAAAACAAGAATATTATATTAACTAGTCTCGATTCTCAAAATTGTTAATTGATTTCTGTTGATTTTTGTTTGTTTTTTCGTTTTAGTTTTTTCGTTTTTTTTTTGTTTTCACTTGAACTCTGTGTGGTACAAAATATGTTACTTTATTCTTTAATATACAATATGTATTATTATGTGTATATGTACATTGCGTATTAATATTATATTTAGTAGTTAGTATTTAGAAAGGAGGCTAGAGCTTAAATTAAATTTACGCAAAACGGGAGCAGCTAAGAATTTGATATTGTAAACAAATATAGAAGTATTAACATTTTTGTATAGCTCATACGCCAATTATACAATCCATACAAACATTTTTATTGTCTATGTACACAACAGTTTTTGATATAATTAGGGTTAATTAATTTTAGGTATATTCAGTGCCAGAATCGAAGCAAAGGGAAATTGCCCACATATTCTGGTCACTGCTAGTAAGGCACATTTGGAATGCATTCCGTATGATGTGTTGGCCAATTGAAAGAACCAACACTTTTTTTTTTAGATTAAAACTAATAAAAAAGCATTAAGTTTTGGCAAGACTTGTCGATTTTGTTGTTGTCGTTCAACTAAAAAACGATGCTTAAAAGTAACAAGGAACCTATGGCAAAACATTTGCTCCACATTTTATCTATATTTTTTGGCATTTTCTAAAACTTTGGGGACAACTTGAAATGCTGCACACACGCAATCAGGGACATTTCAAACGGCATTGCATCGAGATCGACATAACACTCTGTTGTGACTTATGGACAAAAGTTGCTTGTTATTTGGAAATTTGTACGTTACTAGTTGGGATTAAAGTTAAAGTCCTTAACTAATTACTGCCAGTTTTTATCAAATACAAGCAGAAATACCACACTTTATTAGTGTTACTTTTCAGTTAGTTGATATTTGAGTCTATTGTTTGCATTTCTCATAGGTTTTCGTGGCAAAAACACTGGGATTCGTTAACGAGTCGGTGTTCGTTAACAGAGACTCTACTCAAAATGGCCGCTTGAAACGCACTGTTGCGTTGACAGAGGCAGAGCGTCGCTGCTGCTGCTGCTGTCGATGTGTGAGCATTTCCCTTAATTCAAAAAAGGCGGCAGGACATAACTTTGAGCTTGCTGCTGCTGCTGTTGTTGTTGTTGCACAGCGACGCCTGCATCCTCGCTCTTGATCACAGTGTGCAGACCGCTGTCATTGTCATCGCTGCCGGATGCTGCTGCCGCTGCTGCTGCAGCCGCTGCCGCTGCCGCAGTGACGTAATGATGCGTGTCCATGTGACAGGAGGCAGCAACGCTGCTGTTGTCCAGCCCCGTTGGCGGCTGGCACTGCACCTGAACATATTTAGCCTCCTCTGCGCTGAGATACTTGCCATTTAGCTGCTGATGCACTGTGACCAGCGTTCCATCCGCCAACTGCTGCTGACTGCTGCTCGCTGCATCCAGATGCTGCTGCTGCTGCTGTTGCTGCTGCTGCAGATCTGTCGCCTGGTAGCCATTGCCCGTTTCGCCCGGTTCCGCGGTGCCGTTAGTTGGCACGGCTCCGTTCATCTCGATGCGCGGCGGGCTGCCGTAGTCAAAGTGGCGCATGGGAAACAGCTGAGATTCGTGCACATAGGTGCCATACTGGCCGGAGTAGGTGCCATACGGACTTGCGGCCGGCGACAATAGACTAAACTGTGGACTCAGCTCGTACGGTGTCTGGTAGCTTGTCCAGCTGTCCATGCTGCCCGGCGGCGTCACTGTTGTCGTCTGCGGGAAACTGGCGAATGGTGGCGCCAGTGTGCTGTTCATTGCCGCCGTCGGCGGCGTATTCGTCTTGATGTAGCCAGTCTTGCGGGGCGGCTCATGTTTGCGCCACTTGGCCCGGCGATTCTGGAACCAGACCTGCACCCGGGACTCACTCAGACTCAGCTTGATGGCCAGCTCCTCGCGCGCAAACACATCCGGATACGGTGCACGCTCGAAGGCTCGCTCCAATTCCTCCAGCTGATACGCAGTGAAGGTGGTTCTGCAAGTGCACAAGTATCGATAATGGAAATTGTCAAGCATTTATTGTGTTTATAAATTGAAAATATAATAAGAAATTACAAGATAAAATATTCATATTTTAGTGGACAATATTTATAATATATACTAAGAATATTCAAAGAAACTCCAAAAAAGAATGTGAACTATTCTATGAGTGCTCCAATTTATGCAAAACTTTTCTGATTATTTTTCCTTCTTTTAGATACACATTGTTATTTACTTTTGAAGCTGGTAGGTCTATTTTCAAAAAGGGCGAAATTTTTCGTTTTCGTAAATTGGAAAAATTTATAAAGTAAAAACGGAAAGCTTCTCCGCTTTTGCAAATTGCATTATACCTGTATACATTTATTAATACTTTGCCATTAAAAGAACTCACAGTAAAAAGCAGTTATTTTTAAATTAAAGTTAAAAGTGTATCGGGATATTTTTTAAGAAATCATTTGTTATCCTACTTTGAAATTACTTTGGAACTTCATTTATATGTCTGTCGTTGTCCATTTCTGTGTGTGCCTTTTTTTTACAAACTTGATACCAATATATATCATATCATATAAATGCCATAGTTTTTTATTTGAAAGATATGTTACCGATGACTATCATCAATAGTCTTAAAAAAAATCTCTTTCCTGGCAAAGGAAAATGTAATGGCGAAGTTTGATAATTTGTGAAAAACATATTTTCATTTTTTTTTTTAACTTTAATTACACTCTGTGAACCGAGTTTTTATTTTTTAACTAGCACAATCTATTAAAATAAAAATATGCTGAACTGCTTAAATTTAATTTTTCTACTTTAGCTGAGAGGTTTGAAAGCTTGTAAAAATTGCTATTTAATTTACATATTATTACAGTAATTAAAGCAGAACACAGAAGAAAATGAAGTGAAAATATTTTCATTTCATTTTTTATTTATTTTCAACCCAAAACTTTTTGTAATTTGTATTTTAGTTACACTCTGCTTTGTCATAATACATGTCATATAAATGTTGGATTTCAAATCAGAAGTTACTTTTCTGACAAACTAAATAAATGAAAAGCTTTTCATGGGTACAAATTCAATGGCAATTTCATCATTTAGCAAATCAAATCTTATGTGATTGGTAAGTTATCGACAGGATTTAGAGCTGAAATAAATTCCTGTCGAGGCTTAAATACTTTAGCAAGATTTAAATACTGCAAATATATGAATTCAAATAAATGCATTTAAATAAATGATATTCTCTCCATTTTTTTTAAGCTGAATTCTAGTCTGCCATTGAGCTGGCTATTTTATTTCCAACTCCAGCTGTTTTATATACACACACAAGCACACACAGATACACAGAACACACACAGGCACATAAAATACGTTAAGTATACGCCCCATTGTGTGTATATTAAATTGACAGATAATTTCATTGATTTCCCGTCGTTAAGTTAATTGTGGCAAATTGGTTTGGCTCTCACTTACCTCGTTTTCTTCTTTTTGATGCCATTGGGATCGCCCTTCTTTTTGTTGTTGTTGTCCTTTTTGGCAGCGGTCACAGCAACAGCGACGCCAGCAGCACCACCACCACCAACACCAGCAGCAGCATTTACACCACCCGCACCACTGCCAGTTGGCGAGTTGGAATTATTGTTGCTGTTGCTATTATTGTTGTTGTTGCTGTTGCCATTGGGCGTTGTCGAGGCATTCTCCAGTTGGGAGCACATGTCATCCGGTTTTTTATGCTTGCCACTTGTGCCATTGCTGAGCAGCAGCGGCGAGGATTCCATCAGACCATTACCATTGCTGGCATCCTCGTGGCCATGTCCATGGCCATGTGCATGGGCATGGGCATGACTATGATGCGGACTGCTGCCGTAAAGATGCTGCTGATGTTGCAGCTGGACATGCTGCTGCTGCTGCTGCTGCTGCTGTTGCTGTTGCTGCGGCTCATACGGATCCTTTGGCGAATAGTCCAGCTTGCCATTCAGCGCATGATAATCACTCAAAATACCAACCAGTTGCTGCTGCTGCTGCTGTGGCTTGTGATGCAACATGCCATTGTGGTTGAGTGGATGCGAATGTGAAGGTGGCGGAGTTACAGCATAATGTTGCTGCTGCTGATGATGTTGCTGCTGCTGCTGCTGCTGTTGCTCGACAAGCTTCTGTGGCGTCGTTATATACTCGTATTTCTGGCTGGGCGAGAAGCAGCCCATCTTATTGCCAAAGTCCAGCTTCTGGGCATAGTTGGGCGAACCGGAACCACCGCCACCATTTGGCAGTATCGTGTTGCAGTCGGGCAATCGTTGTTGCTGCTGCTGGCTGCAGAGTTCGTGGACAACGCTGCCCAGCATCACGGGATGCAGACTGCTGCTCTGCGTGATTGTTGTTGTGGATGTGGGCAGCAGTGGTTTGCTGGCGCCCAGCGGACTAAGTGGACCGCTGCTAAAGTCACCAAAGATCTGATCATCGAAGCTGGCGTGCTCCATTTTATTTATTTTTTTTTCAAGAAAACACACACACCAAACACACACACACAGACACAATTTAGTTGTTGTTTTTAAGTGTTAATCCATTTGGTGGTTTAATCAAAGTGCGCGCAAAATCAAAATCAAAATCAATTTATCGCTGCTCACTAATTGTTGTAAATGAATTAATTGCATTTAGTTTTTTGGCGCACGCGCAAAAGCATTTGCCGTCGTTTGGAATGAATGCTCCTGAATTGATGTGTATACTGCACTCGCTCACTGTGCAAAAGCGCAGCGATCAACTGCGAACCGTTCAAGTCTGTGCCTGTGGCCTTAATTGAGCCCACAAGTCGCGATGATTGCCCTTTTATACCAATTTGCTGGCAGCGATGCGACGCAGCCCGTTTCGACCAATCAGCGACAAGCAATGGCTGCTGCTTGCAAACAGCGCAGCAACAGAGCGAGAGGCATAGCATGCAGAGTGATACACATGCTGCGTGTGTGTGTGTGTTTGTGTGTGTTTGCGTGTTATGCTGGCTCGTGTGACTTTCTGCTTTTGCCTTTGCTTTTGCCTTTGCCTTTGCCTTTGCCAAGCACAGTGGGGTGTGGTTTTTGTACTGTGCTGAGAATCTGTTTGCTGGCTGCTTGTAGCAACGCTTTTGCAGCGGGTTCTCGCTATGCTGATCGCTGGTCGGCAGACACTATCGATAGACGGCTGAGCATGTCCTGGGAAAATGTGTTCTAAGCATTTGGGTATCTTATTTCTTAGAAAAGCTTTTCTTATACTTTTATATATTTTTATTTGAAATGGTTTATTGTGCATTTTTTATTTTAATTTTACAATTTGAATCTTAAATGTTTTTTATTCTTAGGATCTGTTTTTTTAATGACATTATAAATGAATAGCATTTATAATATAAACATAAATTATACATAACAAAAAATATAAGTAACATTTTAATTTTATTATTAATTTTATAATTTTTAACCTCAATTGTTGTTTTATTTTATATATTTTAAATCGTTTGAACATTTGTGAACTTTTCATATTTAATAAATAAATACAAAAATAAATAATAGCAGTTAATTTCAAAAACTACTCCTCCGCCGTTAGCTTATAAGTCATTAAGTTATCCATCACCTGCCTGCATGTCCACAAATGTTTTCCCTCCGATTAGACTTGGTCAGTACGAATCCCGATGCATACACATAAACAGACACATATTTACCGCCACACACAATTCTAATTGGAATTGTCTCACGCCAGACGATCGCATGAGGGCCTTATTGTTTTTGTTGTTGTTGTTGTTATTTGCCACCACCGTAACCTCAAGGATGCCACTCGACTGCCTTGCAACGGGTCGCTCTGCTGCTGTTGCGCGTGTCGCCCTCACCCTTCGCGTCGGCCTGAGTCAGAACCTTCCCTCTCTGAAGATTGGCGTGCGCGACCTTTTGGCCAAATGCTGGTATTGCACGGGGCACTTACGAGTATGTCATGGTAATAGTAAAGTTATGGCTCGTTTTCGTTTCGATTTTAAGATTTCACATGTACAATTTTGGATATTGAAAGTGAAAGGTACGGGGAGGTGGTAAATTATTGCAGGGAAAATGGTATGCCAAAAACAAAATAATGTGGGTAGCTCGGACGCGCTATAAAAAGTTGATTTTAGTATGAGCATTTTGTTTTATTAAACATTTAAGTTCTTTTTAGTTACATCAAAAAATCTGAACTTAAAATAACAAGTGATCCTAATCTATTTTGATTTAAGTAAAATACATTAAAATTACTTTAATAATAAAATTTAATTCAAGGCTAGTGGAAAATATGCTAACACTCCACTTTGAGAGTTGTTTTCGATTATGTTTTTAATAAAATTATGACTGTGCGCAATTTTTAAAATGAAATTACCAACCAACTCGATATACTCCAACACATAGTCTAAGCAGCAATACCTATCCAAAAAATTCTCACCATTTACCACACCACCCAATTGTAATACTGCCCGCATTGACCTTGCCTAAGAAACATCAACTTCAAGTTGAATTTCCCAGGACTCGAAAGGATCAACAGTGACGACTATTTCCCATCGAATCGCGCACAAAATATATGAAAACAATTTGATACTTTTGGGCGCACTATGTGGCAATGCCGATGGATTTGTCTTTGCAGGTTTTCAAAAATGCGGGCAGCGGAAACGGAATCGAAGTCGGAATGGGAGTGGGAATGGAAACAAGAATGGGAAATGCGCACGCGATCGGCGTTGAGCAAAAGGAATGAATGAACTCACCCCACATATGGAGAGATGATGCATATTGAATCCATTAGACAACATTTTGCATTGCGATTGCGCCAATTATGTGGGCAATGTGATGGTGCGGGAACATCCTCGATGAGAATCGAAATTGGGTTGTCCTGCTGACTTGAGGCTTTGAGGGTTAAGAAAAGTCAACGACGATATCATCTGCGAGAGATCAAAAGTTAATTGCTACTGGGATGCTGGGACTGCTAACTTCTAACCCTCGAGGCGAAAGGACAAAGGCAAAGCTAATAATTAAAGTGTATAATGCTACCTTTAAATCTCTGATTTTATCTAAATTATCTACATAAAGTGAGTGTACTCTGAAGAACATAAATTGAACTATATTTATGTTTCTAAATGATCACACAATAATGTAAATTTAATTTGTTTTTTGATTATGACTGAAAAGGTATTTATTTATATAACAAAAATCAATAAAAGATATATAATATTATATGCAACACTCATTCAAGGCTCAATCTATGTTTTTATTATGTGACTATGAATCGGATTAAATTGAAATACAGATTTGCAGCTTGGGTTTCTTTAACAGACAGCCGCTTGGTACAGTTTGCCACACAAAGCAAAGTGCGCTTCCTAAGCTTTTATTGTATGCGAGTGCGACAATGTTTCATATTTTTTCCATAACCATTAAGATACTCACACACACACAGATACTCAGACACACACACACACATTCACACACACATACATGGCCATCATCGCACTTGTTCACATTTGTTTTGAACCCAGTGACAGTCACTCACCAGCATCATCATTCGGCATCCTCATCCTACACTGGAATATTATCACATTGTATTACGATATATGTATATTTATGTAGATACTTTGACGGTTTGCCTTTAGTTTATGCATTTCTATATGTACACAGAGTAGAGGGGCGTAGTCAAAAACTCAATAAGGGGAGCTTGTGATTGTGAAAGGCATTTGTGTGTTGGGCTAATAATTTTCCAATCTTAGGAGGAGGTTCGCAGTATGCCTCCTTTTTACTTTAGCTCTAAAATTATGGAATATATAGAATTTGGCGATTCTTGAGTGATTGATTCATGAGTATTAACATTAATATATCATACTATTCTGACGATTATATATCATAAAGTGATGAACTCAGAGGCTTATTTGCTTGCCCATATTTAATCTATCTTCTGAGAACTTTGTCCCCTTTCCTTTACTTTCATGCACAACTGATTATGTAAATCTAAAATCTCTTCTTTTTATCAAATTTACAATATATATATATCTCGGTCACTTCTTTTTCTTACTTTATAATTTAAGTTCCTTGCAGTTAATCTACAAGCTTATATATATGTATATACTTTATTTATTTCGTATGTTTTAAATGGAAATTTAACTATTAATTTTTTGTTATTTATTTCATATTATTTGAACTGTAGCAGATAGACAGACAGACAATTTGGGGGATAGGTCACACAACCAATAGACTCTTCTTCAGTATGTTTTAGAGTATGAAAAATAAAGTTCACGTTTGAGACTTTCAAACACGTTAAGCCCAATTGAATACAAAAATATTACAATAAAATTCTGCTCAACTTTGCATGCCAAAAGATTGTTTTACCCCTGTTATACTTACCCCCTGCTGATGACGCCCATGTTACAAATTTTGTATGATCGTATCTTTAATGTTTTTTCATGCCAGTCGCTCTGCGATTGTGATCTGCGGCAACGAAATTCCAATATGGCGTGCACACACAAACACGCACACACTCTTATGTGTGTACATATATATATAGATATATGTATATAGGTGTGTGTGTATATGTGGTACACAGTACATAGTGTCAGAGTCCAGAATCGGGCAAAGCAGTTCAGCAATACAGATGCATTCAATTAAGCTTCGTTAAGATCAATTTAAAATCCCGCATAAAATAACAAATAGTTTTTGTACTTTAGTTCCATTTCTGCCATCGCTATTTGTTGTCGACTGGCGACCGCCAGCCAGCCAGCCAGCCAGTCAGCCAACCAACCAGCAAGCCAGCCAGTAACAACAGCAAAAGCGTTTCGAAATCCACACAGCCCACGGAACGAGACAATGTCTCCAAGTCGGTCGGGGACCGGGCCCCGGAACCCCGTCATGACAAAGATGTATAGTTTTTCATATTTTGTTAATTCTCTATGGCACTTTGGGGTTCCAGCTGCTCATTGCGCATTGCCCATTGCCCATTGCCCATTGCCCACTTGTTACCCCCTTTTAGCACTTAACATGATGAGACACTATATATGTGTGCCATATGTACTTTATGTAGTAGTATGTGGTGCCTTCAGGCATGCTCGATAGCAACGGATGTACGGACATCTCTGACATCTCTGACTGACCCAGCCGATCACGAGCTATACTTATACAACCACTACTTACAGCTATCAGTCACGGACTCAAACTCATTTCTTCCGATTTTGCAATTGTTTCACCCTAATTAACAAAAGATTTTAGATGACTCCGTAATGTGATATCGAATTAATTGTTGTTCTTACATTGTTGAAAGATCTAAATCACTCCAAAATTGGTACATTTGAAAGTAATTAGTTTTATTAATATTATTATTGAGGGGCTTCATGCACTGCGATCTATTAGATCGATTGTGTCTCCTGAACCTTTATATCTTACGTGCTTATAACGTGCTTCCCTATAATACTATATCTTTATAAGGGACACAATCTGCTATGATGTGCTTTGAGTATTTCAACTCATTGTCATAAAATCTATTCGTTATGCCTGGATTAGTTAGGTGTCTTTTTAGCCAAGAGAGACCGTGATTATTCCCAGTCCATCGCAGGCTCAAATCTTTTATGATTATATCTTTTTGTTTGGTGACCTCTTTTAATAATTTAAATATGTGTCAGCTCTGGAGTTAGATCATAGCTATCCAAGATCCAAGAGGCATTTGCCTTGCTTGAGACCTGGTTCAGCTGCTCAGCTAAATTGCTGTAGATGTTTTTTTTTCGTTTCTAAATTTATGCCGTATTTTGTCTTCCGATTATGGTTGGTATTGCTTCCTCCGT